TATATATTTAATGAGTTTTACTTGAAAGCTTTATTTATAACAAGTACATTATACAATCTAAAATATTAATAGAGTACAGCACCATTTTATTATATATACCTTGAACGATTAATTAATCGAAGGAAATGTATATTGTAATCTAAAAACATGGATTTACCTTTTGATGTACCATCCTCTTCGGAATCCCCCGTTAGACTAACACATTGTCTTCTATCAAAGTATTTTTCTTAAATGTTGTTTATATGATTTTCCGAACGTTGCGCATGTCTATAACGGGAATAATATTCGTAATAAATAGAATTTTCTTTTTCGAAAAGTCTCTCATATAAACAAGTTTCAATAAAATAACTTTCATAGAGAACAACGAGCCAGTCTAACGGTGGATTTCGAGAAGAACGGTACGTAGATCTAATACTGTTTGCTTTTAGACAACAATAAACATTTACTTCGATTAATAAATAACCATTTAAGCTGTATTGCATACTCTAATGTACTCTATTAATATTTAGAATTGTCTAAATATTGTTTATACATTTATACTTTGTATTATCCTTATTTTAATGTATATTAAACTGATTATTGAAGGTACGAGCGCTTTCTGTACATTATTTTGGTATTTGCTTAATTCATGAAATATGTAATAAAGATATACTAATGCATTTATTTGTAAATCGTTTTCATCCTAAACACATACTATATCAATTGTTTTCAAGGGAAAATCTAGTAAACGTGTCGATATACGCTTTTAAGTGTACTTGCATAAAATGTTTTGGACTCTTCTTCCCCAACTGAACGATTAATCGCAATTCGGGTTTCTATTCGTAGCAACTAATACCGTACTTGACCTAAAATTTTTGCAAAAAATCTATCTCGCCCTTAGAAAGAGAGAGAATGAGAGCTTCTAGGTTTCTTTCAGTTTGCGTGCAGTGCGACAACCTTTTAAACATGATCGATAAATTCTCTCTCTCTCTCTCTCTCTCTCTCCCCCCCCTCCCCTTTTGTCTCTTGTAATATACATATGTATTGTATGTATTCTATAACCTTTCGCATATACAGTATGTATTTACGTCCCTTCTTAATAACGATCATTCTATGTTTATTTATCGAGTCGACGTACTCGTCAAACGAGGAGGAGAGACCAAAATCGCGCTACTGTTTTTCTCCTTTGGATCGATCGACCTGGGTGGAGGAGTCTTAAAAAAAACTGTGTCACACACGTCAGAAACCATAGGGCAAAAAAAGAAAAAGAAAAAGAAAAAGAGAGAACAGTAATCGTCGAACGACGATACTTAACTTTTCACGAGGAGGATTGGTAATGAGATCAGAAAATTGGACGTGGCACATATGAGAGTCACCGGTGGTCTTGATATGGCTTTCTTCGGCATTTCATTTCGAGTAAGAAAGAAATAAAAGATTAAGAGTGGGGTTAAAGTGTCGGTGGGGGTCGAAAGAAACGTTAAAATTACGTAAGTGATTAAAAATGTAGAGGGGAAAGTAAAGAAGAAAACAAGAGTAGGAGGATGATGGTCTTCTTTGGTTCTTCGTATTTTACGCATAGTCGTAAGCTCTGCAGTAGCACCACTAGATATATATACCGTACATACTTACAGGTATATAATGCGTTAAGAACGATGCGAAACACACACACACACACGTTCCATCTAATTGCACGGACGAGTTTTCTTTATGTTCCTCGACGTCTGTGCAGCGGGTTGCGTCTTCCTATTATATACTACATACATACGTAATACATTATAGCATATAATATACGCGTGTATTGAAAAGGACAAAAATCAATGTATGACTTTTCGCAAAAAGTGAATAAAATTGGTGTATTAAATATCCACTCGTGGTTGCGTCAGGGATTGGGTTTGGGCTTTGTAAGGAAAGTTTTGGAAAAGTTTCAATGTCTAACTCTTCCTCTGCATTGAGCTTGCGCAGGAATAGACGCGCAATGCGGCACGCGATAGAGTAGGATAGTCGCTTTCGGATTCATAATCGCTTTAGAAAGGAACAGAAAGAGTCGGATTCATAATCGCTTTAGAAAGAAACGGAATGAGTGCACCGGAGAGTGAAGGGAGGTTATAAGGAAGGGCAGCGCAGTTGAAGCGAGAGAAACTAACTGATTAATTTACTGATGCATCCACGTAATGCATTTTTATTTTTTCTATTCATCTCCCTTTCTCTGCTTTTTTAACGCCCTTTCTTCCTCATTGACACAATGAGACCCACATTCGTTTAATCGACTAATTTATATGTATTTCTTCTTTCATTGATGATTCCTTCGAATCATTATGCTTATCAATATTGTGATGTAACGAGAACACGCGGCAATAATCGTGTAACGAGAGACTGTGACGAGAGATTGTGTTACCTTTGGATCAACTATATATTTTTCTTTTTTTCCAATATTATACTATTTTTAGAAATATATATGTGTGTATATATATACACGTACGCATTATCTTCGTCTGCTCTTCTTTTTTGCAAAAGAAATATTTGACATTTATGAGCGTATATATATTTATGTATCCATCTGTTTAAAAAACAAATGGACATCTTTTTTTGAGAGTATGTCAACGATTTTACGAAACAATAGCATTTAAAAAAGATAACATAATTCTTCTATATATTTTCTTTCCTTTAATAAAAACTACACATATATGTATTTGTATATATAATTAAAAAGCAATTTATATATTAATACAAAGTGTACGATTATTTCCTCCTTTTTGTTTTGTTTGTTTTTTCCAATTGCCTTTGTATTACGTTTACTTATGTAATTGTTAGCTTACCGAAGTGGAACAATTTATTACTCAAATTTCCATTATAAAAATTGCAAATGCATTTTATATGCCGTCTAATATAGAAGAGATATATTAATCGTATCTCTAGTAAAACACTAACAATAAGATAACAATAAGCTAGTAACGCCGGAAAGAAAGAAAGAAAGAAAGAAAAAAAAAGAAAAGGGATAACAAGGAGACTGCGTCGTACGAAAAAATAAAAAGAAGAAAAAGACACACCTGCTTCTCGTCTTTTTCTATCGATCATATCCATGATGAGATATGTAAGAGCGTGCATACGTATGCACGTGGTTGTGTGCGCGCGCGCGTATATATACATTATATATATATACATATATATATATTCTTAAGAAATGAAAAAATTCAATTAAAAAAACCTGGACGTACATATTTTCACAGACTGTGTCATAAATAGTTTCGTTCTATTTGATGACGTTCATCTTGCGAAAGTTGTCCCTAAGCGCTGGATAGAGCTTTCGCTAGGTGTCGATGGCAGGAGGGATGATCCAATCGATAGGAGGTTCGCTGCATTATCGACGCAAAAAAAGCGTGTGACTGAAGACAAAAATGGCCTGAGTAAAAATTAATTAATGAAACATGCAATTCTGTATTTAATTATAATGAACAATTTTAATTTTAATTCATTATCGAAGTCTTGTAGATATCTTTCAATGTTATTTCATTGATAATTAATTACCCTAATGTTGAGGTATTTAAATAATGTGGATATATGGATGTATAGGAAATGTTTCTATTTAATTATTTAATTAAACCTATGTTGAAATAGAAAGAAAAAAATATTAATTATCGGCGTAGATAAATTGTTAAGATATACGGTAGTGCACTCTATATTGAAAATACTCACCTTCCGTACTAAACTATCGTATTGGAGACCTTGGCCTATATTCTCTCCTTGTGGCTTACTTTTAGTATTAAAGTGCGCAGAATGTACACACATAGAAGAAGCGATTTATAGACGACGTGTAAGTATTGTCTGTCTCCTCCTCTTCTGGCATCTTATTTTATGTGTTGCGTACTTGCATCTAAAGATTTCTTTTGATAGAATAAAAGAATGCATGTGTATAATTTTGTTTTTATCTAAAATATCTAAACATTGTTTCAACCACTGTTAACATTTTATTCACCGTATATACATGTATGTATGTATATATATATTTTTTTTTGATGATTAGTTCATGTACCTTGAGGTAGTACTCTGTCTGGCTGCCTGCTGCATCCTGGGTTTGACGCATCATTGAATAAATTGAGCATAGATATCCTATTTGGGACATTGTCGTTGATTCGACTTAACGTAGACGCGTCTCGAATGCTGCTGACCTATACAGACTCAAACGGTTAACGTACCATTTCAGCAATGTATTATGGCTTCATGGAGTCCCAAAATATTTTTTTTATTATAAAAATGTCTTTATAGAATATTGATTTGGGTACTTTGATGAGCCCTTACTTGCTATTTTTTGATATTCAAATAAATATTGTACTGATTATTGTTTTAAATACTAAACATCAATTTAGTTCTGAAATTGAAAAAGAGATTGAGACTTATTAAATAAAATAAAAAATTAAATATTCGCGTGTAGAAATTGAAACAATGATTGTACGTTTCAATGTTTTTCAAAAATCAGATCAGAGGATGTAAATATTAATAACAATGAAGTAGTAATATAACGGTACATTAATATTACATCAAGAGATATATATATATATAGAGATATATATATATATATATACAGAGTTTTTAAACCTAACATTTTGACATTTACATATATATTTTATGATTTTCATTTATACTTTTTAACGTAAATATAGACAAAGTAAAAAAAAAAAAGATATTACAAAGCAAATATAGCGATTTCTCTTCTTCCAGCTGAAATCAACATTTTTAACTTAATGCATTAGCGTGATCACAATGTACACCACACACGCACTCTCTCTATCTCTCTTTCTCTACATTCACGTATTGAATCTACGATGCGACGATAATGAGAGTACAACACTAGCAATTTTATAATACCTCTTTCCTCTCCAACAATCTTCAAGTTTGAAAAACTTAAAAGAAAATTATCGCAGTCTATGATTGGACTATACAAGATTATATAACAAAAATATAACTTGTATTATTCTATCAGTCACTTGCACAATTTAAATGAAAATGATGATCAAGCAAAGGTGTTACTGTAAACATGCTTGGACCTTCTCGATCCATTCTTGCGCGGTCGCTGCATCACCGGCACAAAAATTGTATGTCCTTCGATTTGTACGGAGCTAAAAATATGAAGAAACATTTGAGTTAATCGTGCAATACGTCAGAAAAATTTCGTTTATGCATCTTACATCAAAAAATGACTTGTCATCTGTTTTCTTTGGTGGTCCTGGCATCGGCGCAGCTGGAGTTACAGACACAACTTCTGCCAAATCTGTAATATTTAATACACGTTTGTATAAATGGAAATAAAACTTTTACAATTACTTATTAATTGTGTTAACATAAAACTTGTTTCTTGTACAAATATAACATACCTATATACCCTTTGCAATGGGAATCTTCCATTGCATCGTAATACCTTAATTGATGCTTGATAGAATCCAACACAAACCATCTTTGTTTCCAACCCTTTAGCAGAGCACCTCGTTTGTAAAGATATCCTTCGTGAGTTCTATTTTCTGCAACGTTACTGGAGAATTGATCATAATATTGTTGTGATGACGTTTGTATCGTGGTTACGCCTAGAAATATAAACGTGTATGTCAATAATATTTGATATTTACAAGAATTATTATAATTGGAGTTAATGATCTTACTCGAATTAACACTTCCATTATCTCCTCCACTTCGCGTAAGAGTATGAGTCTGTAAATTATCAGTTACTGCCTTGTATTTTGTACAATTTTTTGGCACCGCGTCTGCACATTTATCATGACAAACGTGACCACAATCGACGCATCGCAAACCAGCCTTTACGGGTCCCCATAAAAGACCGGAGCACGCATCGCAATGAGTCGGAGTCGCTGAATCTAATCTGTCGAACCTTTGAAGAAGAAAATAAATATTCAGTTGGTTGAATAAAATTTCAATGAATATGATTATATACCTGTGTGGGTGCGCATAAACAGAACCTTCGTTACCAGCTGTATTTCCGCCAGCTAATTTTCCTCTTAATAAAAGTTCGAAAGTAGAACGCTTATGTATTAATCTACCGTGATATCTTACAAGTGCTGTACTAAATGACGCGTGTCGCTAAAAAAAAAAAATAATAACAAAAATGACTATTAATTAAAATTTAAAAAAAGACATAATTATATATAATTTTGTTTCTTTTAATGGCGATATATACGTACAGCCAAAGAATCCGTATTAGGTAATTCAAGTTTATCCCAAAGAACTTTCCATTTTTGCGGTAAATGTCCCAATTCAGTTTCTAATTTATGAATTTCTTCCAAAAGATGAGCAAATTGATCAGGTACCATAACACTAACTCCATCATATCTAAAATATAGACAAAAATATGTTAGAAATACGAATGTTCAGTTATATTTGATTGAGATACTTACCCTTGCGTGACTACTTTTCGATTACTCTTGACAATACCATCGGCAGCCTCGGCTTCTTCTTCTTGTTGAGAATCTTGTTGCAAAACCTCCAAATCGTAAGCCGGCCCATGGGCCAATTCTTCTTCTAAATAATATTGCCAAATATCGAGATTTGGCAAATGTGAAACTGGTCTCAGAACGTAATATTCAGTATTTGGCGAATACATAAAATTATAAAACAGAGGACATCTTGCATTTTGTCTTTCGATATAATCAAATATACTCTGACCTAAGTTACAACCAGTATTCGTTCCAACTAATCTACCACCAGGATAAATAGTTTCATCGTCGCTACCAGTATCTACACCTTTGTGATGGCTCGTCAAAGAACCTCTCTTATCTTCTACCGCAGCAATACCACACTCAACTCTGTCTGATTCACAATCTAACAAAAATGTGCGGAATCGACAAGACACCGAATGATATGCCAAAAATCTGAGATAATAATCATTAAATTCAAATGCCAATGGGAACTGCTTTTGAATTTGATGTATTATATCGAGAAATTGAAGAAACGTAGGCGTGAAATTGGTCGTTTGTGAATTCGCAGCTAAATTACTCCTATGGCCAAATCTATGACCAAAACCAAGCCATTCTTTTTCTATCAAAGTTCGAAAACCTTCAATAGTTCTGTAATGTGGATCGAGACAAACTTGAGCAACTGAACAAACGGTTGCTGTCGTATCCCAGCCATCTTCTAAACAAACTGCCACTGATGAACCTTGCACGTCCATCAGATCTATTACGGCTCCGGATAATTGCATTAAATTTTGTAATTGTTGTAACCATTCTGAACTTTCAATTAATCTAAAGGAAAGAAAAATGTTTCATCAAGAAATATATTCTATATCGATTTCTTACGAGGGTAGTAGACTTACTTGTAAAAACTTTGATCAGGTTCAACATTTGGAGAACTTGGAACACATGCTCGCATAAGTTTTTTAAATGCAGCTTTGGTATGCCTAACGTCAAAATATTCTACTGGTATAAAATCAGTTTTAGGAGTTGATTCCGCTTTAACACCCTTTCAACAAAAAATATTCACATTTATAACAAAATAAATTCCAATTAATCAACAATGCGTATTTTCTGTTTATATTTAATTACCTTCATGTGAGATTTTTCTCCAAGTATATAAAGGGCTGCGCGTTGAAAAGTATGAACACATTCTGTTCCGCTATCCGAGTCAGCAGAATGTCTCACCGTACCACGTTGATGAACAGAAGTTAATGAAGCTTGAGAATTATGCCTTTTATCTTTGAGTGAACCCCATCGTCCAAAATTTTTGGCTCCTTTACCACCTGATGATCTTAAGTTATTAAGATAAAGATAAGCTATATTATTATTTTCATCATAAATAATATGTAATAATATTACTATAAAAAAGAACATACCCTAATGTACCTATGGCTTTATTAAAAGGATTTCGTCTAGTTTGTTCGGGAGTGGCATTACGATCTTCTGCAGCTAATAATAATGAATCTATGCTGAGAGAGGAATCGGACATGCCCCATGCTGAACCTTGACGTAATACAGATAACGGAGTAGCAGCTACAAGAGCCATAAGATATTTTTCTTGCTCCAAGGAAGACGTTGTTTCAGATGAAGTTGCTGCAATCATGAGATATGATTTATTTACAAAATGGTTTTATTTCATTTATTTACAAATTGATTCATTTCATTTATTATTACATTTATACCTTTTAAATTAGCGGTAGACGTTGGATGAGCCTTCAACATACCCATGACACCTTTACCGTGATAACCAGCACCCCTGACAAGAAGTGCTTTAGTTCTTGGATGCCTCCAAGTAATAACTGGAATTCTACTATGTCGATAAAGCCGACAAAACCTTCGGATATTTTCATCCGACACAAATGTAGGAACTATAAGAAGAGCTGGATAACTTCTGCAAATCATATATGCACAATTCACAGAAGATAATCGGAAAGGCTCGTTTCGTCGATTGCTATATGGTCCATTGGCATATAAACCCAATCGATACCAATCTCTAACATAACTACGTTCAGAAAGACGTTCCAGAGTCTTTGCATCGGTTGGAGGCTGATTTACAATTCCTGGTATTTCATAATCATCAACTGAAAAAATTAAATATTGAACGGTGTTAACTATTAGTCATTTAATGAATATAATATTATTCCTAAAGTAGCGTAACTTTATAACTTACTGCTGAGATCATCGTCGTGACTTAAATCATTGTTATCGGTGACCGGTAAACTCATTCGACCAGGCAATGTCATGTATTTATTGTTGGTCATTAAATTCATATTTGGTAAAACATATTTTTGCCTTTTGGACGATTGTTTTGGCTTAAAGCCAGCCTTTCTTGCTGTCTTCAAGAGAGTCTTCTTGGCAAAACCTCTGTAAAATCAATTTAAATATGAAACAAAATTAACTAATAACAACAATTGTGTGTATGTGTGATTTCTATTACGTTTATAACTTACTTTAGTGTAGCATTTTTTTCCTTTCCTTTATGATGGGCAGTCTGTGTAACGAATGCTTGACCATTAAATGCGAAATGATGAAATATATGTGGCGGGTACCGTGCTTTGTGAACTAATTTCCTTAACGTTTCTATATTTTCCGGCGTAACTTCTTCGTCGAATGCCAATTTGATCAATTGAAACGTACACGAACGTAATTGCAGTCCTTCTTGAAGGCATTGATCTAAATGCGCCAAGTGCTGTACGGTAACACGCTTTTCCTTGGTTAACGATGTAACGGGAAAAGCTCTAACTACTAGCTGCTCGCAAGCTATTAAAAAACAAATAACAACAAACAAACAAACAAAAATAAATAATTGTGAATAAAAATGACTAAATAATTTTTCAATAATTACCAAATGGATCGCACGGTATTCCCTTGAATACGATTCTATAATTAGTAAGGAAAATAGCTCCTTCTGCTGGCAACAATGGTGGTATTTTGGGAAGGCCTGCGGAACTTTCTTCTCTACCATCTGGTAGAAGATATACACGCAAACCATCCATAATAACTTCCTCGCCAGGTAACATATTGGGTGTTAAGATCTTAGGCTGCAAAAGAAATATAATTTGTTTTTTTATATTTTCTTTCATCCTAATTAATTGAATGAATTGAATTAATCTATATATACATACACATGTATTTTTTATATATTATACTACCTTCTGTATTGGTGGCAACCTTTTGCTTTCTCTGTGCACAGCCTCAAGAGTTTCAATATGCATATGAACAACGCCAGGAACCATTTGATGAAGACACCTAACGTGTTCGGCGCTAACACCTCCCTCGGTACAAACACGATCTACGAATCGTGAAACCATGCGTATAACTGCACTACCAGTTTCTCCGGGATCAGTTTCCTCGAATCCGGATTCCGCATCGCCGCTATCGCTTGCAACACTTATATCCATTATGAATTTAATATCCAAAGATAATTGTTAATGAGAAATAGAATATACATGTATAAAAATACATACCTGTTTGTAATACTGTTACTAGCTCTTTCGTCATCGTACACGTTATCCTGACGATGAGTTTTTGCACCGATATCTAGAGGAACTAATAAATATACCATTCTGTTAGCGTAATGAATAGTCTGGCTATACATAGTACTTTCTTCGCTCGCTATAAGTTCTTTTTGCTTATCCGAATCAATGGTCGGCCAAATTCTCATTTGTTCGGCAGCGATTTCTAAAGCCGAGGGTTCATGAGTTTGATATATAGAATAACGATCGCGAAATGGAAAGTCCTTATTTTCTCGTGGACTGATAGGATTTAAAATGTTATCGTTTGTGAGCCTTGGCGGAGAATTATCGCCTGGTAGATATAAACGTTTTATGTCTTTCTGTACATCCAGATAGAAAGCATCTTCCCAAAATTGTTGATTTTGCCATACAGGATGTTCTTGGATACAAGTGTATGCAAATTGTATGACACCCGTACATAGTTTTCTACAAAATGCAGTTGCAAGAGGAAGAAGAGCAGCAGCAACGCCGTGTTCATCCATCGAGGAATCATCTTGTAACGCGCAATTCATTAATCGCACTACCAAATCAAATTGCTGATGTTCTAGCATGGCTTTATTACCAACAACGTGTTGAGATAATTCCATACAGAGAGCTAATCGAGCAGCCTTGCTTTTTAACGCTCTTAAAACTGCTGGGAAAGTTTTACGTGCGTCTGATATCTTATTTTCGAATATACAATTTATACAATTACGCAGCACCTCTAATCTACGTGCTGAATTGCTCACCAAGTGTCTAGTGTCATGAATAAATGAAATGTGTGGCCCTATAGGTACAATACGTGGTTGAATTGGCCTTAATGATGTTAATCTAAATAATAGCAACAAAAAAATAAATTTATTTATTTTTATATTATTGTGATATCAAATGATATGATTAACAAAATTATAAACTAATTAAATATTAAATACACACCTAACAGTTAAACAGTTTTTGGCAAGACCTTCGTTTATAATTGCTTGTACTTGCTCTGGATTGACGCGAGGTAAAAGAGGTTGATGAATTCTTGCAAAAGCTCCTTCTGGTGGCTTCAAGATTTTTTGTACATATGGCTGAGGATTAGGATTTTCATTTGTATACAATTGTTGCGCAAGTTCTTGAATATGTGTTAAAACAAGTCCTAGAATGTAAAAGCAAAGTCTTAGTATTTCAAATAAATGCAATATCAATGGAATTCTAGAATTTATTGATACTGACTATGATCTTGTGCTTCTTGTTTTAATTGGTCGCTCAAACTGCTATACAATTCGTCCCATACATCGCAAGGCCTCCATGGTGGGCCTCTTTCTGCAATAAAAGATGTAAAAAACATACAATCTAAAACTCTTGTTGTGAAGTCGCAATCTGTTAAACCACGTTCTCCCAAGAAAGCAGCCTAAAAATATAAACATAAACGGAATTATAATGTGCAATAATAAAGCATTAAAAAAATAATGCACAATAATAATATTACCTTGTGAAAAGTAATAACTGGTTTAGGATGAATTCGTATTAACGTAAGACAACTGCGATAACCCTGTAGCAATTGAGCAAAAGCTCTCATAAATACTGCTCTTAATTCTTTATCTAACATCGGAGGATGCGGAGCTCTTGTAGCGAGAGGAGGAAATGCGTAATCTGCGCAAGCAAGTTCTGGTTGTAATACGAGAGACAGTGCATCTTGAGTTTGCGAAAGAAGTGGTTCCGGGAGTAAAGAAAGTGATACTCCATCGGGAACCATTATAGATCCGCCATCTAAATCAGCTACTATCACGTCCATCTGCGTTTAAACAAAATTATATTTATACAAGTAATATTAAGTAAATATTATTATTAAATTAAATAATAAGTTAATCTTACAAGTTCTGCAACTTCGTGCTTGAGCGAACTGTGTACACCCATAATAAATGGCGTAGGTGTACTGAGTACTTCGACTAGAGCCGCAGGTAGAAGGGGAATGTAAACGTGTGTATATCTGAATGGATACATCAATGCAGTTAGAGCGCGACATCCTTCTGTTAATCTAGAATAGCTTGCGGAATGAAAGAGTATCTTATGCTCTGTCATAACTGCACAAAATAACACTAGTACGTTGCGAATGCCTAAATAAATAAGATGTTAGAAATATTTGAAATAAATAATATTTGTTTGCATCCCCTCGTAAACATAGAAGAATGATTTAAATTCTTCGTACATACCTAATTGTTGAAACAAAAGATTTACACTAGTATGAGTTATCGGAAGCGAAGGACTAATTGGTGGTTGAAGAGCCTGACGATCGCTAGCTCCAATACTGAACCGTACTTGTGGTCCTCCAGCTGGTGGTACTTGTATACATCCTAATATGTTTCCTACTAATGTTTCTAATGGTATTCCAAGATTTTCTACATATACTGTGTAAATAATGCCAAGACAATTCTAAGAAAAGACCAAAAATTTGTTATCATTATTAAATCTTGTCGTTTCTTTATATATTTTTGTTTTTCTTTGATTTGATATTGATGTTTTTCTTTTCCATTGATTGAACATACCCTAAAGGTCTCGATATAATCTAGTCTGGAGACCAGCACCAGACATTTAGGAGCATACATAATACTATGATGCGCGATGGAGGGCATCGATCTAACCAAAGAACGGTTATCATTGTCAACAGGATCTTCCTCTTCATCTACAGGCTTACTTGGCATTATAGAAACCGTCTCGTTAAAACACATACAAGCGCAATAATGACGATTGGCATCGATATCCGTTAATATGGATACAAAGAAGCGTGGCTCTTGTCTTTCCGTAGACAAAGCCCATCCTTGCGGTTGACAAAACTAAAATACAACAGGTATCGATGATCGAAGGGCCCTAGATAAACCTAAATAAATAATAATCTTACCCATTCTATACCCTCGATAAATGGCGTATCAGACCAATCTTTTTCTGGAAATCTTTGTAGAATAATCCCACTACTAATACCAGCTCCTATAATATTATATAATCATTATCCTATTCTTTGTTGAGTATGAAAGAAACAAATGTAATGATAACTTACTTTCTTTCTCATGATCATAGCCCACTACAACAAAGTAGTCGGCTAAACGAGACATTTCTGTATATTCGTGGGATTGAATGAGGGTGGTAGGGCCCAACATCCCACGTAGTATTTGATGCACGTGATTTCATGGACTATAATATCCTTTTCAATAACAATCAATATATCTTAACAACAAGTAATAACTTCTTTTCATTTGAAAATATATCAAAACAAAATCTTTCACAAACATGACACGAACACTTCGCTATTCGTCGTGTTTCATTTCAACGTTGATTACCAAACATTGTTCTCCCTTTGATATGATTTAGATTATATTATTTTAATACTTAAAAAGTTATATGTACTTAAAAATAAAAAAAAAAAAAAATGAAAACGATTCACGTATTCGAGTTGTCGAAGTAAAGTTCAACGTCCATTGAATTTTTCCAAAAACGCGCGAAACTTACTGACTAAGGACAACTTCTTATATATCCTTCGAACAAATAATTATTTCATACAATGTTACACACGCACAATACATTTTATTCGCTTTATAAATCACGATATGATGCCACACCCCGATGTATTAATCCATAACCTTCCAAACTCAAGCGCCACATTGGGTGTTTGTTGAACCGCGTATGAATGTTGAACGCATCAAAATCATATATGTATACAAGGAAGAAGGAACCTTCTTTCTGTCAAATCTCTACTTCATTTATTTTTTATTTTTAATGCTTCCTTTATTCTCTTATATCTTTCATCTTCTTCTTAAAGCAATCTAATATTTTATTGGTCGATTTAAATTCATTTTAAATCTATCAACCAATAAACGTCAAGAGTGCGAAAAAGAGTAAATATTTTCAAATTAATATTATTCCTCTTTTATTTATATTTTATATTTATATTCTATTATTAAATATATATATATATATATATATATATTATTCATCATTATTAAACTTTTATCTGTTATTAGTTATCTGTAAAATATGAATATATGAACTTTTAATTTAATTTTCATGAAAACTTGTCTTGTCATTTTATTAATTCTTTTTATATTAATTATTCAATGCATGTTTGCCTTTAAAAAGTATACATATTATGTTGTACATACATGATACCACTTCTCTTAGCGTCTCAAATACACGTGATTATAATAGTCGATTTTAATAATAATTGTTTTGACTTAAATAAAATATTATGCATATGGCGTGAAAATAATGTAAATTAATTTTATCATTTATTGTATTATTACAAAAGAACTAAAGGCGAATTCTGAAAATTATCAACACCCTGTCGGCTCATTCAGGAAATAAAACACACACTGTCACTACCACTTCACACTCTTGTAACATAAATAGCTACTTTATCTTTAGATTATAGGTGATTTGTTAAATATATTTTAAAAATAAGCCTTCAAATAATATACATCCAAAAATATATTGAAACGATAATAAGATAGAAGACAGATTTTTGATAAAATATTTTACAGGTATAAAAAAATGTCTAATATTTTTCCAACAAAAAGTAAGAAGCTATTGCACTAATTTTTAATAAAATGATGTTTGTTTGGTTTTAATCTTTTTACAGTATTTTATACAAGAATGGATATTTTAAAATCATTCTTTAATAATGGCATAGATTCCAAATATGGCCTTGCGATTTGTGTTATTACTAGTTATTGTTTCTATAAATTTGTAATGCGTCGAATACCGTGGATTAACAAACCTGTGTCGAAAAACGATTATACGATTGTTGTAAGTATATTATTGAATTATTTATTCATTTCAATGAAAAATATTTAATGTTTAGCTTATTGATTAATTTCATTAAATTTTCAAGCTATCTAATGATATCAAATTGTTTTATTGTTCAGCCATATCCGGGATTTACTATTAATGAAGATTGTAAATTAGTATTAGTTGTAAGGAATGATTTAAAAATGGGCAAAGGAAAGGTTGCTGCTCAATGCGCACATGCAGCTGTAGCAGCATATAAAAATTGTATAAAATATCCTCTCGTTCTAAGAGCTTGGGAAAATTGCGGTCAAGTGAAAATCGCTGTTAAGGTATTGTTTTATAATTCTACTATTTAACTGGAATTTTGACCGTTTGAATCCAAGACTTTTTGGAGAATCTTATAGTGCATTGTTGGTTGTTCGGAATGGTCAAGCATAGTGGGCCGATGGATCAAACGTGTACTTTGAGAAGCCTAATCTTACTTGGGACTTGCTTGGGGCTTAGGACTCAAACGGTTAATGATTCACACAAAAAGAAAGAACAGAATAATTTTCTAACGTTTTTATAACAATACATGTCTATCTTGTTAATATGATTCGTATAATATATCTTTTAATTCTCTAAAACAAGAAAATAATATAGCTTTTATCAGAGGATATACTTTAAGATAATATACATATATGAGCGTTATAGAGTAAAATATAATATAATATAACATAACAATATTTTCCCTTTATTATATTTTCTCTTTCGGCACGAATACATGTCACAATAATATAATCTAATTAGCTAAACGAAAACATATAAATAAACACATTGTGTGCTATTTTTAATGCAATAATTATAAAAAGATAAATAATGAAAAAAAAAAATAATGTTTAGGTGAATAGTGAGGATGAACTAAAAGCAGTAGCAAAAGCATCAAGAGAAGTTGGTTTAATAACAAATGTAATACACGACGCGGGACTCACGCAAATAGCACCAGGAAGTAAAACTGTATGCGCGGTGGGCCCTGGGCCAGTGAAATTTATTGACTTAGTAACTGGGCATTTAAAACTTTATTAAAATTCTCTTATAAGGAAAAGAAATAAAATAAAAAATAAAAGGAAGGTTCCTTTCAATTATTAAAATGAATTCGCAAATTAATACCTATATATTTTTTTCTACCTTTGGAAGGTTCGATCGTAAATATTCTAAATAAATTTCTATAACAAAATTTATTTACTTTAAATACTGAAAAGTAATTGTAAAGCATAAAATAACTTTCAACCTTTTGGCTGAAAATACACAATCATTAATCTAAATAAATTTTACAAAGAAGATGCACTCGATCGAGTGAAAAAATTTTAATTCAAAAAACAAAATTAAAAATACATACGCATAAAATATAAATTACTGGGAAATACAATACTGCATATTTAAGTATGAAACGCGATTAATATGAAGAATAATCAAAAGAATATTCCTCTAAAAAGAATAAATTGTTTTTAAAATAAAACGAAAAGTATTGCATGTTAATTATATTAACGAATCTTAGTAGTAACTTTGTATCTTTATATATTCTTAAAGATAATATAGTACATTGTTGTTATGTTCTTTTTTCCTTTTTCTTGTTTGCATGCAACTACCAAAACAAAAATCAGGTATATCTAATCGATATGCTTATTTTGGATTTTTCTTCAACCTTTTTTTGATATTAATTTAATAAAAACTTGATAATGTATCTCTGATTATAATTAATATGTTCCATTCTTTGGTACCCAGTACTATTATCCAGGATTACTCTCTCTCACATAGTACTCATATATATAAATATAATATATAAATAAACAAAAAATATATACTGAAAAAAAAATATATAAGTTATACTGGAGGTGGTGGTGCCTTTCTATGAATTTTGTTAGAACTGGTGGCACTGCATTGCGATTCGGCAATCGATCTACCATCAGCTTCGTCCCTCCGACATAATTCCGTATCATTTTGCATCCAATTTTGCGTTTGACTGTGATTGTTATTATTCGTCCTAGAAGTTTGAATTTCCTCCCTTTCAGGCACAGAACTAACTTCTTCCAATAATTTTGACAAAGATGGAGCCAGACCTAATCCCAAGTTTCGTTCGTGATATACTTCGGAAATAGTAGGTGTTAATTCGCGTGTTAAACTCGTTAAAGATGTAGCTATATTTCTTAAGTTTTGCGGATGCGTTTCTGTCGCTTGTGTCGAGTCCGTTTGAGAACAAATATCTTCGTTGGATGTAGGATGTCGTGGTTTTCGGGGAGCGTTGGATCCAACTTCCGTTCTAACGCTCAATCTTTCTAATACGGTCGTTGGTAAAGGTGGCAGCGGTTGTCGTCTTAAAACAGTAGCATGGCCGTTATCCCAATCCGTAACCGAACTACTTGAACTTGATCCCGGCCTTACATTTTGATCGGGATATAAATTTCTTATACGCGTTTGATGATTCAAATTAAGTGCCACTGGAGGACTAGGTGTAAAAGCCACATCCGATTCACCTGTATTATTAAGTACGTGAAATTATTTGAAAACGTAATGTAAGAATAATTTGAAATATTATTTGAAAATTATTAATAATATACCTCCGCCACTTTGACATTGCTGACGAGATATTGTAATTGGAATATTTGGTGGTTCCATAGTTTTTCCATCTGGTTCTCCACGATGTCGTACGTAACTCGCAAATGCTCCTCCTAATTTAGGCCGCTCTATAACATTTTTTTCAGTATGTGCAACCGATGCTAAGCTTTCCATTGAACTGCTAGAATCTATGCTAAGACTCTTTGGAGCCTCTTGTGTATCTGATATAAAGAAAAGTTCGTTAGATTTGTGTAACGTGTGTTAAATATCGATTAGTATACAAATCAATATAAGAATGATTTACCAAATAAAGCAAGAAGTGCTTGTAAAGCGAATTGCACAGCTCTACGCGAAGCTTGTTTTCCTGTTCTTAATGTAACTTCAGATTGGCCAACTTCCATAAGATCGAATCCTAAACTTGCAAACAATTCGTGAGACCCGGGTGCTCTCCAAACTTGTACGGGTAAAGAAACTTCTTGTCCTTCGGTAGCACAACTGGCTCTTCTCATAGCAGCGATAACATCTTCTGCCGCTTCTGGGGCCTAAACGTCGCACGATGAAATTATTACAAAATGATGAATATTATGTTAAACAGAAAAAATAATTATTTTTAATTAATAATTAATTATAAATTTTTGTTATACATTTACCTGTAAAAGCCTAGCTAGCGCGTGTAACGAGGATGGTCCTAATCCTAGAAGAGCTTGTAAGCTAGCACTACATCTCGTTAATCTTTCTTCGGGATCACTCTGTGGGAAAAATACGGAAGATGGTATACCATTTCCAGCTGGTTCAAATCTGAATCCAACGGACATTAAAAGTTCTCGCCAACCAGCAGCCGTTCCGACTTTATTCTCGATACTACGTTGCGTCGTATACATGGCATTCTTTTGACCGCGATGTATTCTTTGCAATGATTTTTCTACCAAATGAAGGGTTACGCGTAAAGCGTCTCGACTCTGTTCAGGTCCTCCCCGTAATAATTCAGCTAGAGCTTGGCCCATAAGAGCAACCTTATTTGATAATCTTGTATCTCCTCCGATGAGCAACCACCCTGCCCAATTAGCTGGGTGAGCGAAATGTCGCGTATGTTGTACAGTTTGCATCGCTTCGGCTAAAGCTCTCGACGCTCTGGCACCTTGTAACATGGCACTATAAAATGCGCGTAATAAAATGCTACCAGCTGTAGGAGGAACTGCCCACATGCCTATTAGTACACATTGTGCTCCGGCATTCAATAACGCTTTTGTCAGATTCTGTATTCCGCTTGACGAAGGTGTCGTATTTTCGTTACCGTTCCAACAATGTCCACTGGATATTACCACTAACCTAGCAGATATTCGTAATTTTAAAATATCCGAAGAACTCAACAAGTATGCTGGTTTTTCCGATCCTTCTTCACATTGATCTGAAGTAAGCGCTAAACTTGTAGAATTCCAAAATACTGGTACAGTTAAATGTACGCATTCCGCATCAGGTAGAGATCTTAAAATTGCTGATCTTGTAGCTTCCATTCCTAAAAATATCAGCGACATTTAAATATAAAAATGTTCTTAGATTACGTAAACTCTTTAACAAATTTTTCATACAATGTACTCACCTATAAGAGCACGCGCTTCTAAAAGTTCAGCAACGATTTCAGATTCTGTTTCGGTAGAAGCCGCACTTTCCGGCCATCCGTATTCCTCTCTAACGTCCTCTGGAAGTGTAGGATTTCCTGCAACTAGAGCGGCCACGGTAGCACCACCCTCGGGCATAGGTGTCTTAGATCTTTTTTTAAGAGCTGCGAGCGATGGTACGACCAATAAAGAAAATCTTTCGCACAAATAATCTTCTCCTGGATTAGATTGTAAAGCTGGAAATGGTGCCAAATATAAAGACTTCTCGACCACCATAATGAGTTCCTTTCTAACAGGAGGCAATAAATCTTCGAACGGTGCCAAGAGTAAATCATAAAGCAACTGAATAGGTAACGGTGATTGCCAAGTGGGTCCTTTGATTCCTCGTCCCCAACGTGCACTTCCAGCTCGCGAACTAACCGATCCAACGCTGAATAGACTGCTTAAACTATAAGAACTCGCATTTAGATGATGTCCTCTCGTTGGTATTTTTGTCGACTCTTCTGCGAATTCATTGGATTCGTCTAAGAGTGCTTCGCGAGCTTGCAACACTTTTTGTTCCAATGTCACACCGTCGTCCAATGTTGTCGAATGAAACCTTAAAAGTCCTCGGCCTGGAGCTAAACACCATGCGTGCAATTGATTGCCCACTTCACTGAAATTTTTAATTTAAATTTATCTTATTTTTTTGTTGTATTTTTTACGTTGGTGATATTAATTTTCATTGATTTTCTTACCTGTAATACAATATCATTCCTCTTTGCCTGTCTATGATCTCCGAATAATGAGCCGTATCATCCAAAGAATTGCTTTTAGATCGTCTCGATCTCTCGGCCCAATTTAACGCTTCCTCAGCTCTATTTAAACTAATCAATACTTTTTGTAACATTCTATAAGTTTCGGTTAATAATTCGCTTTTGCTAGGTTGTCCGCAAATCAAGGACGAAGATGATCCGTCTAATGATTCCAAAAGATTAGCAGCTTTTTCCAAATGTTCTACGGAAGTTGCTGTTTCTCCAGCTTCCCAATGGACGAGGCCGAGTCTATATTTTAATCTAGCTGCTTCTTCTCTCCTTCCTAAACCTTCGGATAAAGATAATCCTGATTGCAAATAGCTTAAAGCCCTTGACAAATCTCCGCACAAATGATGTAGTCTTCCTAAGCTGGAAAATGCTGCTGCTCGGGCCAATTGATCTCCAGCAGCAGCTGCTAAACTCAATGATTGTTCTTGTAATCTTATAGCTTCCTCGTATTGGCCGAGCGCTTCCTGAGTCATAGCCAAATTCGCACAAGCCCTGGCTTGTAATCCAGCAGCATTTAAACCCTCGGCAATGGAAAGCTCTAACTGATGATGTCTTAATGCCGAATTAGGGTCATCCATTAATAAATGAACAGCACCTAATCCACTAGCAGCTTCAGCTTCGGCAGCTTTATCGCCAAGACCTCTGGCAAGAGCGAGTTGATGCGACAAACAACTAACAGCTTGTTCGTGATTTCCTAATGCTGCGTGTACTCTTCCTGTTAAAGTAAATCAGGATTTTATCAGATAAAAAAAATATTATTTATATTATTATATTTTATTACACAAACCTAAATCGCCGTAAGCTGCCCCTCTTGCTTCTGGACTATCAACTTCGTGCGCGGTTACTAATCTCTTTTCAAAACAAACTAACGCTTCTTGTAAATTTCCCGATGCCTCGCGAGCTCTTCCTAAACCCCTATATGCTCTTTCTTGATCTCTTATGCTTTTTAATTTTATAGACGCGGCCAATTGTTGTTCATGACATTTAACGGCTTCTTCTGGATCTCCCAAGGCTTCGTAACAATCCCCTAAATTTCCTAATGCTCTAGCTTTGTCAAGTAAAGATGTACCCGTTGTCAATGGTTCCAAAGTTGCTAATTGTTGTTCAAAATATCCAATTGCATCTTCGTAATGTGCCATATTAAGCCTAGCTATTCCCAGATTTCCTGTATCAATGGAAAAAATAAATGTTAGATCAAATAATTAAACCCTTGTCAAATAGTTAAACCTTATTTGTAATTATACCTACCTAATGCTTGTGCTTCAACGCCAGAATCAGCCAATTCTTTAGCTCTTTCTAATTGTTCTTGATAACATTTAACAGCATGGGTGTATTGACCTAACGCCATATGAACGGCACCTAAATTACCATGAGCTCTACATTCTCCTCGTAAATCGCCAGCTTCTTGTCTTAACGTAAGTTCTTGGGTATGAAATCCAAGAGCTTTATCAAGATTTTTGGTCGCTCTATGAGCAATTCCTAAAGCTCCATAAGCGGCTGCTTCTAAACTACGATCAGCGGCTTGTCGCGCTAAGTTTAATTGACGTTGATGCATTTTAATGGCTTCTTCTGCTTCACCGAGGCGCAAAAGACAATCCCCGATATTTCCCAAGGCCCGAAATTTACCGGCCAAGTGCTTGGTCATATGGGCTATGGCTACATTTAAGTAGACAAATATTCAGTTTATCCTATATAATATAGCATGGTGAAATGATCTTAAAATATAATACAATAGTTTGTTCTTACCAAGATAATATTTCTGACACTCCAAGGCAGTATCCAAATTTTCTAAAGCTAAATGCGCTAATCCTAAATTACAATACGCTCTTCCCATTCCAGATTTATCTTGCAAATCTTTGGCTAATGCCAAATCTTGATCGTAATATCTGACCGCTTCTCTATGGTTCCCTAAACAATAATGGGCATATCCTAAAAAATGGCATGCTTTAGCTTCCCCTTCAACATCGTGTAATTCCTGAGACAACATAAGATAATGTTCGTAATATGGAACTGCCTCTTCGAATCTTCCTCGCGACGATAAACAATTGGCAAGATTAAGAAGCGCGCACGCTTCGCCAGCTGTATCCTTCAATTCACGAGCTATTGCCAAGTGTGCTCTGTAATGTCTCAGAGCAGCCTCGTGGCCTTGTACGGCTTGATACGCTACAGCTAAATTTCCGTGCGTGCTTGCTTCCGAACTGCGATCATTGACCTAGGAAAAATTTTAATGGATTACGTTAATATAGACTTTGTCATTAAAAAGAAAATACGTTTGAAAATCGATTTGAAGTAGATACATTTGAAAATATTACCTCTTTACTTATGGTCAACTCTTGCTTATGATACTTAATAGCCTGTTCATAATATCCCAAAGCATTGTAAGCATTCCCAATATTTCCATAGGCCCTGCCCATACCAGCTCTGTCACCCAAAGCTCGGGCAATACCCAAATGCGCTTGGTGTAACTTAAGCGCAGCATCATGCTCACCAAGTAATTGATAAACTATTCCTAGATTGCTGCATGCCCGACCTTCTGCTACTTTGTCTTTTGTTGCTAGCGCGACATCGAGTTGTCTCTGATGCCAAAGCTTGGCTTGAGCAAGGTCGCCTACATTAGAATACATTTGAAAGAGATTACATAATAAAGTTCACTTCTCCATTGCTTTCCTCATTATTTTTCGTTCGGAAAATTATTTCACCTGCACATCTTGCAGCATGACCCAGTCCTGCATAAGCTCTTGTTTCTATTGCCCTATCCCCAAGTTCCTGAGCTATTCTCAATACACTTTCGTGATAAGCCATTGCTTGACTAAAATTTCTGCAATAGTGATGCGACGATCCCAAGTTACTGAACGCCTTTGCCTCTTCCACGCGATCTCCCAAGCGTCTTGCTATTCGTAAATGTTGCGTATGACAGTCTACGGCGCTTTCAAATTCTCCCATAGCTAGATAAACTGCTCCGACGTTACCAATTTCACGAGCTTCTTGAAGACGATCACCCATTTGTTTGACTAATTGGACGCATTGTTTATGAGAAGCTAGTGCATTTGGAAGGTCACCGATGGCCGTATAAACGTGGCCTAAACTTGTTAAGGCAGATGCCGCTGCTTGAGTATCTTTACATTTCATGGCCAAAACTAATTGGTATCGATGTGCTGTTAAAGCTTCCTTATAACTGCCTTTACTAAAATAAGCCGATCCTAAATTTCCATGTGCTCTACATTCACCTTGCGTATCCCCCAAAGATCTGGCAACGCCTGAAAATAATATTTATCAAATGCCAAATAATTCCTTAACTTTAATATACCTTTAAACTTTTTTTCATTATCACACATACCCAAATCTTGTTGCATATAATTGATTGCTTTGTCCAAAGAATTTAATGCCCAATATGCGCTAGATAGGGCAGAGAAAACGGAACCTCTTAATTTTAAACTGCATGAACCAATTGTGAGTGCAGCTTCTAACACGCCGGCAGCTGCTTTGTATTGTCCAGCGCCAAGAAGTTCCTGACCAACGACAGATATTACAACGAAAGAGGATTCATCTAATTTCATTGCTCGCAATTGTTGAAATGTCGGTTCTAACGTTGGTCTTAAAGGAGATTTCAAGGAAGCTTCTACCAAACCAGATAATAATTGACAATTGGAAGGATCGTGAGCTAATCCGGTACTGAATGCTACAAGGGCTTCTCCATGTCTGCCCAAACATTGTAAAGCAACACCTTGACGATAATATGCCTGAAAAATTAATAATACAAATATTATTGATTCTATTTTGTAATCAAAAAAATAAATAAATAAATGAATGAATATACACATACCTTTGGCCATTGTGGACTAAGCTCTGTGGCTCTTACGGCATCCTGAAGGGCAAGGGCAAATAAACCCATTTTTAATCGTGCGGCTGATCTATTGGAATATAATACATGACTGAGTGGATCTAAGACCAAGGCTTCGGTGTATAAAGTAGCAGCAAGTGCATAATCTCCATTTTGACATGCTGCATTGCTACGCCGTACAGTCTCTAGGAATAATGATCTGGATCCAGCGGCCAAGGCCGACGTACCTTCGGGCTCCACCTGAAATGTATTAAAATAAGTTAGTAAAGTATACATTACTAAAATATAAATAATTACAAATACTATATCTAATATTTATTATTTTCTAATGAAATAGTCAAATTTGTTAAATATGAAATAAAGATCTGACGAAAATAGAATGAAACTAAGGTATAAAATATTAGTTGTAGAAAAAATGTAATAATAGAAAAAAAATGAGGTGATTACCTCAGAGATATCCCTATGAGACATTGTTTAAGACGAGCCGGGAACATCCTCCTGCATGGGCATTATCTGCCGCAAACGAGCTCCATTAGATAAGGCTTCGGGCTTTAATACATACGTAAGGCCTTTTCTAGTCTTTCTCCCAACTTTTCTCTCTTCTCTCCTTTTACACTAAACTTAGAATCTCAATAATGTTATTTATTATTTTAAATTAGGTTTAATCTTAGTCCCGTATTTATATTTCACTATTTGGTCTAGGCACCTGAAGTCTTCTTTTCTCTAGACTCGATAAATTGATCCGATTAATAAAAAAGGAGGGAGAAAGGCGTCTTAGGGGGGCACCCACTGCATTCCTTAGGCACAGCCATCTTGGAATGTGGGGGGTTTCTCCCTTGGGCCCCTCTTCTTTACTTTTACATGCGTACACCGTACTTACACTTTACTAACCTATGTGTCTCTGCCTGCGTATATATGAATGTAAGATATACACAAGGCCCCACCTGTAAGAGCGCGTAGAAAATTGGAATCTTATACAGGACATGCATCTTTAAATATATAATCATTAAACATTAAATTCCTTTCTTACTTCTTTCCTTCCCTTTTGCTTTTCTTTTATACCTTCTTTAATAATCATCCTTGTGATTTTTAATTATTTAAATTCCAACAAAATTTGCAAGTATGATTTAAATAAATAATATAAAAATAAACACAAAACGTTGCAAGCACGCACGCACACACACATATTTATTTAGAAATGTTAATATAAAATATTGTAAATAATCTTTTTATATAACAGAAAATAATAACATAGATATATCATGTGGCATATGCAATTATAAATATTCGATAAAAAGTATATTATTTGTATACAATATCATTTTAATTAATAATTGTATGCAATATAATACAATTAAAATGATGTGGAATGTATGTAAATACTTGAAGTTTTATTATTACTAAATAAATTTGCATCGTCTACGCAAACTTGTGGTCTCTTTTATATTATTTAAGCCTTCTAGTTTTCTTTTTTCCAATTTTTTGATTTTAAATTATATTTATGTACATTATTTTTTCTAATACATCTTGAATAATGTTTTCTTTTTTCAAGTATAAAACTGTGCACCTATATTTTTATAAAATTATATTATTATTACTATTTATATAAACATAGGTACATATAATTTTTTCTTTTCTGGCACAGACATCGTTTGCGATTATTTTGTTCATACATTACTCTCATGCATACATGTATGCATGTATGTTAATATTATGGAATGTTTATGTATTATTTAAATTATTATCAGTGTATATAATTCTCTCAAAACACAACGTGTGTGTGTCGATATATCCAGTATTGCAAAATGTATGCATATATATATACACACAATTTAAATTAATAAAACTTTGTGCTTAATATATAATATGTCTCTATACATATATAAAAATGTGTTTTGTGCAAGCAATAATGTTTCTTTAATAAAATGCAGTGAGTGATCGGTTAATGAACACTTTACAAAATAAGTGCAAGGAAAACCAACACTATGTGTAAAATTTGTAAAACTGTAATAGTTTCTTTTCCGATGATGGTTTAACGAACAATTCAGGTAGCGGATTATGTTTGTCAACTGATCAAGCACTGTACATCAAATGATCGACGTAATACGAGACGTATTTACCAATTTAACAAGGTAATATCTTTGAATGATAATAAACTTATTATAAGGAAATAATATTCCAGTCACATTATCATACAAACATATTATGCAAACGTATTCTCATAAAGGAATGTCCTAATGTTCACATGACATATCATTTACAATAATATAGTAAAATAAAAGTTCTATAAATACATATAAGTTTTCTCATGGCCATATTTTCTTAAACAGATCCATAAATGAATCGTAAATCATGAATGTTATAGCAACATCTAAACATACTCTACTTAATCTTGGAATAGTGCCTTTATAAAAGGCAAATGGACCCTCTTTCTTCCATACTTGGATAACGCAGTCTATACTGCTTTTATATTTCGATGCCTCCAAACCCTAAAATAAAAGTTCAATTATTATACTGAAAATTGTTAAATAAAAAAAAACAACGAGGAAGGAATTGCTACGCACCTGCATTCTAGTTTTTACAACATCAATAGGGGTATTCCCGAAAACTGAAGCTGCTCCCGCACACGCACCGAACGCACCAACAACGACCTTAGGAACATTTTTATTATTGTCGCCACCTCTGTACCAGTCTTTTAATGTTTCCATTACAAAAAATCGTATTGCTTGATTAGAGCCTTGTTTTAAAATAGTAGGCATAACACCTTGGTATACTCCTTTGAATCCTATTAAACAAAATAACAATATTAAATAATGAAATATAATTGATTTATCTATTCTTGTTAATTAAAACACATTCATGGTAGTAATTTAAAGATATATATGAAGTATATTAATTGATATTTTAAATGAAAATTTTCAAAGGATTGAATACACACACATGTGGTCAATTATTAATATGCATAAAGAAGGAGAAAAACATGTCTTACTATCTCAATCTTGTAAGCCTCAGTTTACAAATGGTATTACCTTTCCTTTTCATCAGTCAAGTTAATACGGTTCAAGGACTAATTCTACATATACCATTATTCTTATCATTCATTTACAAGATACTTTTACGGATTTCATAATTTTGTAAATTCTTATTTAAACTAATTACGAAATTACGTATTAGTAGGATAAAAATAAAAATATGTCAATAACATTTGCATTTCTTAAGAAACAAAGACTCACTCATAAATATCTATAGATATCATGTAATAATGTATAATTCATCATACTTGAACTTTGTGTGTAATAAATTTGTGCCAGAATTTTCAACGCTAATGAAAAGAAGAAACTCATGGTAATCAAAATGTTCAAGCAATATTTATATCATAAAAAAAATATTCTTGTTACATAAAGAGAAAAACTGTAAAATCGTAGAAATGCTTACCATTTTCTTTGACTATCAAACTAACGCCATGGAAAAATCCCTTAAACTTAGGATTAGGCGATCTCTGATCGTTAATGAATTTAACTTTGACCGTTTCCATAGGAGTCACTGCGAAAATAGCTTCGCATACACCAGCGCAAAGTCCTGCCAAAAGTTTTCTCTGAGCGTTGAGATTTCCATCTGTGTCGACCAATCTTTTTTTAACCGACTCGAAAGCACCAAAACGTACTGCCGACTTTGGTATAGAGCCGTAAAGGAGAACGGATAGGCCTCTGTATAGTCCAAAGAATCCACGCGTTTTTACAGTTTTTGTTACACAATCCCATATTCCTGTATATTCTTTGCCAGCTCCACTTTTACCATCCAATTGTAGTTGCGTTTTCACGTATTCAGTTGGATACGTAATACAAATTTCTATACCTCCGGTAATACCACCTGCCAAGAATAAGTATAAAATATTTCTTTTTATACACTTATATATATATATATATAATCTATTTACTTAATTAATACAAGATAATATGTAAGTATAAATAAATGGGAAGCATATAAAATATATTGTAGTAAATGTATTAATAAGATAGTAAATATATTTTTTCTTATTGAAGGTTAATATGATTTCGACCTTTGAACTATCACACCATAGAGTGAGCACCACTAACATTATGTTTCTCTCTCTTTTATTGGCTCATTCAATGACCGAAATACACACTCATGCGTGGAAATCATGCTGTAATGCATGCATAGAAATATATTTAAATACATATCTGCAAATGATATGTATCGAACCCCATTCTTGATAGAAATAAGAAATCTAAACCTTTGACAAATGTCAGAAGTAAATGTTTTTCTATCAATTTGATAAGATAACGGAAAGTAAAATGAGAAACATGGTATCTACCTATTATGAGATGATTAAATAATCAGAAAAAAATAGACCACTGTGTACCAGCAATGATTCCTTTGAGACCAATATTAGTAGCACCGGCAGCAGCCACAACCGAACCATTCTGAAGCCATGGTCTTTTTGGGAATGGATTTTTATTATTGTATGATGATATTAATGACGGTTCTTGTATAAATTGATGCCTTAACCAAACTGGATCCATAGCGATCGCGATGACGATGACGATAACAATAACACAATTAATCCTTTCTTCCACTGAAGACGTCGAAACCAAAGTGATCCGATCAAGTCATGTGTGTCCCTCAATGGTGCGAGCGAATAATACTTCCACGATTCCCCTTCTTCTTATTTTTTGTCGTCGTACGACTTCTTTGGATCAGTTTTTTTTTTCAGTTCTTCGCTACGCGCGACCTCGTTAAAGTCCGATATTTGATCGAAACGATTAGGTGAAAAATAAAACATTATTTCTTTCTAATTTTTTATTTTATTTCTTTTTTAATATATATATATATATCTTTTTTCTCTATTATCAATTACTTTCAATATTTCTTAAAGAAATTTGATGAAGTATCTTTTTTCCTTCCTTACGTATATTACATTTCATTGTAAGACCTTGGAATTTGTTAAATTTTTTTTAATTCAATGCATTTTATTCGTATATTTAATCGACGTTTTATCGTTTATGATTACCTTTTATAAAAAAGTAAAATTCATAGATATAATATAAAATTCTTTTTTTATTTTATAAGTCTTATCTTATTTAACGTCTCTTATTTGCAAAAAAACGTGACACAGTTTCCTCATTAAAATAAATTCCATAATTTGTGTGGATGAGAATGATTTATATTTACAAACGATCTATTCACTTTTATTTAATATTGAGTTCACAGACACGACGAGATATATATAATTAATTGTTAAATAAAATATCACTTTATAAAAGTGCTCGTTTTATTGGTAGAAAAATTCTAATAATTTTTTGAAAATTATTAGAAAAAGAGGAAAAAAAGTAACTCGATATAAAGTTTTATATAAATTTCTTCGCTTAACATCGACACATTTTTTTTACTACATATCTTGTCTCTTTATTCTTTTTCATTTTATTCGATTTCTTTTGTAATTTCTTTTTTTTTTTCGATTTTAGGTAAACAAATATATGAAATAAACATTGTTCCTTATCTCAAATAATAATGGTCCATGTTATTTACCATCCAGGTGTGGTATTTGCTAATCTTCGCATACGCCTGAAATAAAAATCAAAAATAATTTTCCGAATCAGAGATGGCTGTTTCTTAATATTGAAATATTTTACCGAGTATTTCTATCTTGATCTCTTATTTTCTTTTCCATTTCCGCGTCGGTTAAAGTTTCTAAAAATGGAGCCCACTGATCGGCTTCGGACGGAGGTCTAAATGGTACTTCTACTGTTGGTAACGGCGCTTCAGAAAATGCATACGTTCTTTGGTGCCATGATAATTGACCACGAACGCTGAAAAAGAAATAATGTAAATAGTAATGTAAAATAAAATGGATAAAAATAATGCATATAATAAAATTACCTATAGGCAATAGCCGTAACAAATTCTCCACCGAGTCCTAATTCGGCGCATAATTTCATGGCAAACTTTTCAGGATTATTTTCTTTCTCCGACATGTCCCATTCTACTTGGTCTACTAAGGATGTATTACCGACATGTATGTTCAATTTAATGATTACTCTTTGATCGCATTGTTCTTCCAAAATAGTTTCTTGTGGGAAGGCTTCTATTTGTTGTCTTATAGCTTGAGCTATCGCAGGAACAAAAGTTAATGGATTCAAATCTAAATCGTCGCATAATACCTCCGCAAATTGTTCCGGTGTTATAAGACTTTCTATAAAAAAACAACAATATGAATATTTATAACTTTAAAGATTTACCATTTAATTAATCTAATATTTAAGTAAAGTCATACGTACCATTTTTATTCCAAGTAAAAGTATCCCTCAATTTTTGACCTTCTATTTCCATGTCCAAACGTATGGGAACCAACATTTCTTGTTGTGCTGCATTTTCTAAATTGGCAGATGGATCTGTATCGTCGAAACTATAACAGATAAAACAAATATAACTTCTATATTATTAAATGTCTTAATCTCTTCAATTTCTAGAATTATTATTTACCACAATGGAAATGTTCTGACTTTTTTATTGTGAACCCTATTTCGATTGATAGGTGTAGCCTGTGGTACTGCATCTAAATGCGAACTGTTGGGCAAACTTGGAACCCATGCCATTGACTTTTTAGATTTTCCTTCTCTAGGCGCAGGTGGTTCAGTAGAATGTACTGATACAGCTTTATACTTATCATCATTACCTTCAATAATATCTTCTACTTCGCTTGCTCTTAAAAGTGATACACTTGATGCAAGTACGTGCTGGCTTAATCCAAGTTCAACTAATTTTTTACGTTCGTCATTAGTTATAGACCTTCTAAACATACCAGGATAACGTTTATACAACGACCCACGAAAGAGTCGCAAATAATTGCCCACTTCGGAGCCAATACAATAATATTCTCCATTTTCCTCTACTTGAAAACTTATAGGTTTATCTCCGTAAGTACGCAATGCCATGTTATATTTCTTTTTTCACTACAAAATAAGAACGATATTACTTTTAAACATATCCCACAAATCTCCTTGTATTAATTATTTATTATTAATTAAAAAAAAAACTTTTCTCTAATTACTGAACATATAGAATTTATAATTTTTCTAACCAAGAATTCTGTTAAATCAACTACTATCAGATTAATAATAATAATATATTCCAGTAGATGACAGAAGGGTCGCTTTACTGAAACTGCCCTCTGGAATTCGGACTAATTACTCGGTCGATAATCAAATGTTACATTACCGAAAGGAAAGTATTATGGTACATTACATCATTTAATATGATTAGAACAGCTGGACACTTTTTCAAATTTTCTCTCATATGAAAAGATTTTCCTTACCTCTACTCACTATAATTTAAAGTTCATTTTTTTTCAAATTGCGCTTGCGCCTTGAATTTGTTGTTGCGCATGCGTATAACATATCTCCCATTCATGACGTCACCATTTCATAATTATTCAAAGTGTAATAATATTTTCAACTAATTAACGATAAATAAAACATTTGTAATAAAATAAAGTTGAGAGAGAGAGAGAGAGAGAGAGAGAGAGAGGATCCGGACAAACAAAAAGTGAGCAATTGATTGAAAACAAAAAACAATAGAAAACTTCATTGCTTTGCTTAAAAATGAGAAAAACGTTTTCGATTTTTCAATTATTAATAACTAATTAAATAATTTATTAATAAGGTAAGCAATTATATGGATTTTGATAGATCAATTAGTGATCAATTAGTGAGTAATTAATAGCACTTACTTATTTTTTTTCTGCTGTTGCGGTTCTATGCCAACTTTTTAGTGCTTCTTCTATGTACTTCTGTATTCTTTGCTATTATATACAATTATACATAAATGTCGATAATTATAAATTAACAAAACGTAATTAAATGATATAAAATATAAGAAATGTTATTTACATTCTAAAATATATAGATTTATGAAAGAAAATTCACATAATCGCATCGTGTAAGCAATATTTTGCCTCCAAATAGAGTGCGCTAGTATTCAAAACTCGATGAATTAATTGCAATGAGGGCAGATATTTTCATCGAAAATACGATTACATGAAAACAGAAGTATAGAGTAATATCGTCATAGGATGATTGGAAATTTAGAGGCAACTAAGAAAATGCAGATCGCAAAGTTATTAAGGTTGAAAATGTTTGACCTTTATCTGTCGAGATTGACATCATTTATAATTCTGTCTTGAGAAGAAATGAGTTGGAAAGTAAATGTGATCGGTTTATATATGGTCGGTTTATATCGATATAAGGAACAAGGATTAAAGGGTCGATAAAAATATTTGATGAAAATAGAAAACATTTTGTGTACCGTTTTTCAATAAAAATCAAAAATTGAAGTTGAAATGAAATTGAAATCAATGAAATAAATAGTTGGATTTTTGTTGTTAAAAAGGAAGGGTGAAAAATAAATGATAAAGGTCCATGTGCGCTTAATCATTTTCCTTTGGTTGCGCATCGTTCCTTTTAGAGTTTCTATAGATATGTATGCGTGTTGTGTACGCGCAAGTGTATTGTCTCTGGTAATACTCATTTCTTCGATTCGTAAAAAGGGGAGTCTTGTTAGGAGGTACTGCGCAGTGAAGCTGTTGTTTTTTAACCAGTTGTATTAAAAAAAAAAACAAGAGCAATAATAATCGCCTCCTTGTGTGTGTTTCGCGCTTGGTAGTGTAAACGCCGGTAATGAGTGTTTATACTGGAACGACTGTAGCGATATCGACGACGACGACGACGACGACGACGACGGCGACGACGACGGCAACAGCAACGGCAACAGCAACGGCAACGGCAACGACGACGACGACGACGACAACGGCGACGACAACGACAGCAACAACGACAACGACAACGACAACGACGACGGCAACAGCTTCGGCGTCGGCGGTTCTACTGTCGCCAGATTCCGCCAACGGTTGGATTGAATTTTGTGAAAGACACGCCCGTGCCTCGGCCTCTGACTTTGCCAAGGCTTTCTGCACTTATGTCAGCCTAAATCTACCTGAAAGTGCAAGATCAACTTTATCTCATCGTGATTTTCTCAGAAAGTTTGTCGATAGTTTCTGCGAACACTTTGAGAGCGAATACTTGCGTCGTACTGTTAGGTCTGTCAAGTTCAATCTTTTTCAATTAACATTAACTTTTTGCTCCTCCTTTCCAAAACTTATGTTTACAAACATTAAATATATTTTCTTCCATGAGACTTTAAATTCTTCTAATATCTTTAAGAGAATAGATAGTATAGAAATAATTAAGAGATACATTTATGACAAAATTTGGATTCAATACATTGTTGAATGTATTCTTTTATTTTTTAGATCACTAACTGCATATGATGTTCGACAAACAGCGCTCACTGAAAGAGATCCAAATGCCATATCTCAAAATAACAATGCTCCAATTCGTGCTTCGTCGCATGAAGAATTTAGCGATTACTCTGAACACGATGGTGAAACGGTATCACCTAAGCCAGTTCACAAACCTTTCTTTCGCCGATTGTCGTTTAAAGGACTTAAAAAAGGAAAGAGTTTCTTTCACAAACAGCAGAGCGACGAAGTAGAATTGTCTCATAGTGAACACCGTAGAGATAAACATTCGAAAACTAAACTTTCTAAAATTGTTGTTGAATGTAGAAAAGAGGGTATTGTTAATTCTTTGATGGGGGAATACATAGATGGAACTCAAAAATGGGAAAAATCTAGATTGGCATTGATAAAAGCAATCGGAGGTTATATGCTAGAATTTTATTCTCCTCCCAAAGCAGTCAAACCGCGCAGCGGCGTTTTTTGTTCCGCAATAACTGAAGCCAGAGAAACCACAGCACTTGAAATGCCAGATCATGAAAACACATTTGTTTTGAAAACACAAAATATGGAATTTGTAATAGAAGCTTATGATTCTAATGATATGAAATCTTGGCTGGCTACTATTAAATATTGCATGCGTACTGTACAGCAAAATTCTACCACGCCTGTCTCTGGTACACGAGATTCAATAGCAGATTCTTTAGGACATGCTTCTACTATTGGAATTAGTAGCGAAGGTGATAGACTAAGGGCCAATTCGGCAAGTAAAGGTTCTCGAATAACATCTCATGAGCCAAATACAGAGGAAGCATTATCCAATCCACCGGAATTGCCTCCAAGATTACGTATGCAAAGTAGCAGTAATTTGGAATTATGCTCGTCGCAACAAGAAATTGAACAATGTGAGAAATAATATGCATGTTTAATAATCGATTATATTTTAATGGAATAAAATCTCAATTAATTTTTTGTTTCTTTTTAGTAGCTGCAAATGACGGTGAGCTAGATTTATCAAGTAGCTTACGAGAGTATCCTTGGTTTCATGGTACACTGCCACGTTCAGATGCAGCACAGCTTGTTTTGCACAGTTCTGCTAATGGCCACGGTGTTTTTCTTGTTCGCCAAAGTGAAACACGAAAAGGAGAATTTGTATTAACATTTAACTTTCAGGGAAGAGCAAAGGTAATCTATTAAAAACTATAAATAAATAATATGTCGTTTGTTGCAATCTTAAAAAGATTAAAGAAAATTAATTCATCATTTCTATAAATTCCTTTATATTTATTATTTTAGCATTTACGCATGACATTGAACGATCAAGGCCATTGTCGTGTCCAACATCTTTGTTTTCCGGCGATATACGATATGTTAGAACATTTTCGTCAAAATGCCATACCTCTTGAATCTGGTGGAACTGCAGATGTTACTCTAACAGAATTCGTGGTGGCTAATCCTGCTTATCGAACGGCGCATCACCATATGATAGGCGTAATGCAACAGTCGCAAGAAAGAAGACCTCCGGTAGCTCCAGAGCCCAGAGAAGTAAGAGTCAGCAGTGGAAGTCTAACTCCTCTTGAATGAGCGCGAGTGGCCAACACCCACAGTCTGAAGTCTGATTTACAGACAGTGAGTAGATAACTAGATAAAGTGATGCGCTCTCTTTCCATTCATCTCATAAGTATAATGGCTCTACCAAAATTCGATTTAATTGCATATATAAATTTTATTATATATATATATATATATTTAATAATTATTAGTCTCGATTAAAAAACTAATTCTAATATATAAAATTATAATTAATTTTTGGAAATTTCTTCAGATTTAAGTATCTTATAGCGCGCTAATGTTTCTATCCGAGAAAAGTAAAAGTTATATATTATTGGAATGTAATTATTCTAATAACAACATTTGTTGGCTTAAAAGGAAATGACAGTGGGGCAAAAAAGCTCGCTTTTTCATACGATGGTGTATTCTTAAAGCTTCTGGTAAATTACGATCAATTGACTTTTATATTATAAATTTACACATTAACTTGCATTTTTGTTATATTACCTTTAACGATAACCAGAAAATTTAAGAATTTGTCCACAAGCGTTTATAAGAATATATAAAATAATTTTTTATAATTAAATTAGGTACACACATATGGAGGTTCTATAAGAACACGTACTGAGTCCTTGGAAAGACTGGAACAACTACATAACATTGCAGAGCAACTAGGTTCAACGTCGACCACTGGCAGAGCGGTTCAAAATACGTATAGTTTTCTCTGACGATGGATAAATTATAATTTTTATCGTTAGAACAGTATTTTATTTCTTTCAGAACTAAGTTGCACTGATAAGACAAACTAAAAAAATCGAAATTCTTACTGAAACATATATGTTCTATATATAAATATTTTGAACGAGTATACCTTCTTCAAGAGCACTTGTTGCATTGTTTAAGATTTCATATTTTGCCAATTCATTTTATTATAATCAAGAGTATATGATTAATAACACAATTTTTTTATCCCTACAGTTAGATGCTAACAATTACGTCATTTTTTTATTAATATGAATTTTACATTTAATATCGAGTTTTTTTAATCATAACAATTGATTACAATATTGATCCAATATTCATTTCTAAAGTAATGTATTATATTCTGCAATATATTAGAATGTTAAACTTAAGATAGCATTTATAGCAACTTTTGGATACTTGATTTCATATTACGAAACATGGATTTTTGAAAAAACATATATATTAGGGTAGAAATTAATTCGGTGTCTTTTTTAAACAATCATTACTTCTGTTCGAATTAAAATTTTTTACCGCTCTTGATGCCATCTAAAACCACTTATCATCCTCTGTACGAATTACTATTATATCAAAACAATTAAAAACGTCATAGGGTATCAAATACGCCATTGATTGCTTTTCATAGTTTTAAATGAAAAAATCGGCTTTTTGTTAAACTACTGACATGATTTGTCAGAGATTGTTATTAGGAAAGAATGCTCTAACTTATAAAACGTGCAAAAAGTTCATTTACCGACCATGAAACAAGGCACGCTATTTTGCAACATGAAAAAGCTCCGCCATATGTTGCTTTAGGCACGTGGAACTCCATTTATACCTTGGGATGAGAAGTTCTCCCTTATGCTGCTTACTCTCCGGACCTAGTCGGTCCCTTCGAACTACCATCTTTTTAAGGCCTAAAAACATTATTTGTCGAGGGAGGAGTATAATACTTGCACACATACGTGCAAGTTGGTTGAAGAGGTCCGATAAATGCATAGAAGATTTCATAACCACCAAACCACCGTCATTCTACGAGGATAACATTTATAAGTTACCCAGTAAGCGGTAAAAGACTATAGAAAATAACGGTAAATATTACAAAACATAATACTGTACCTAGTATTTGTAATAAAATCTCCAAGTTAAGAAAAAAATGCACCATTTAATTTCTACTCTTAATATATATGCAAAATAAAATAAATTTTTAAATCTATCCAATAAATTTTAAAAGTTCTTTTTAATATACATTCAAAAGAAAAAGAACATTTACTTTGTTAAGTAATAACTCTAGTAACAAAATTTACTTTTTCCTTCTTTTCTTTTATTTATTATTATAGAAGATAAAAAACTTGTAACGTTTTGTTGCTTATGAACCTTTTTGCGTGCATGAAATATAAAATTTGAAATTTTTTATTTTTAATTTGTTTTATAATATGCATCAATTTTAAATTAATGAATGGTTGAGATTACACATGAATTAATATTAATATTTAATAGATTTTTTATTAAACACTTATAAATGAGTGAAACTCTTTATTTGCTATCTGCTTTAAATAACATATTGTAAGAAAACTTGTATAAATTAAAATTTACGATGTATGTACTTACATAATATCACACATAAGAACACGTTTGTATATGATGTACTGCCATATATTACGACTTACATTATTCCACTTTCTTTTTTCCTTTTCTTTTTTCACACACAAATAACATATCATCTCATTAAAATATTAAAAGTGCATTGAAATTCTACTATAACAGATTAATTAATGGAATTGATTTTTTATTTTTGCTGGAATTACTTCTAAAGTACTTGGAAGGACGGTCCAAAAAAGGATTACGTACTTTTTAATATATTTAAAATATATATACACATGCACAAATGAAAACAGCATACTGCTATTAATTTATATTTCATAATTAAGTCACCTTTTATGAATTCGATAAGTTTGTTTAATTTTTATAATTTTGAAAACGAAATAAGAAAACTAAACAAAAGATAATATAAAAACATAATCTTTTTTAAGACATTTGGTACAGTGGGTGATCGGTTAATACGCAAATAGCAAGTAGCAAATATTATATTTAAACAGATTATGTTCGTTAACCGATCACCCACTATATTATAGTTTCGTGATTACTCAAAACGGTTTAATAGTGCAAGAGAGAAGGAAAATAATAATTTGATTACATATAATTAGATATATTTGTTAACGCTTGTGTAAATTTTATTGTTTAACACCTAAAAATGTACACTCCTTGCCAGTTTTTTTAATAGTTTGTAATACCTCATCAGAGGATAATGTTGTTTTCACAGATACCATTTTATTATCTAAGTTAACGTTAATATCATTTACACCTACCAAATAAAATTGTCATTATTACATGCCATTATAAAATATTTTATCAGTGGGAATATTTAAAAAAGACTTACAAACCTGCCTGTTTGTTAAGAACATTTTGAACGGAATTAACGCATCCTTCGCACGTCATTTCAACTCGAAATTCGTAGACCTTTAAATGAAAATTATTTCATATAATTTAGATTTTCTGAAAAATAAATAAAATGACAACTTTCTTACCTGCGACGCCATATCACTGATAAGATATATAAAAGATTTGACGTGGAATAAAACACCAAAGTTACTTTTCTCTTTCTTCTTTTTCTTACCACCGAGTCCTATTTCTTGAAATATCAAATAAGTTTTTATCAAAAGATAAGCTTTTATAATTACTGAGATAATCGTTTGATCACACTTTCAACAATTTCACTTAACTAATAATATACAATCACAGAGGCAATGAGTTGTTATTTTACTTCCATTTAGATTGACATGCGTGGCTCCCCCTTTTGAGATCTTTTTACAAGTCTTTCATAATCATAATTTATTGGTTATTTCGATTTTGTTTATTTCCTTATTTTTCATATAATTAAATAAGTTAAGGAAAATTTCTTTTTGAAAAATAAGAAAACTTGGAGAGGAACTTATTATTTATATTATTAATTTAATATTTATATCATTTATATCTCATATATATATATAATATTAATATATATATAATATTAATAATATATTATTAGATTATATTTATTAACTTGCAATAAACTTGTTTTATTTTATATAATTAATTCTGTTTAAATATTTATTTATGTTTAAGTTCTTTCTCAACTGCGCTTAACCGTTGTTCTAATATATTAACAGTGTTTCGTAATGATTCAACTTGTTCATTTAACATTTCTATTATATTACTGGTTTGACTAGAACACGAATCAGGTACTTTATATTGTCCGATACAAGAAGAATCTTGTTCTCTTTCCTTGTGTTGTCTCTCTTTTCTCAAATTAATCACTTTGACTTGTATATTTTCATTAGGTAATTTGGGAATAGATTCTTTACAAATTTTTGAATCGGATTTAGATTTTACAGATTCCAGCGATGATAATAAAAACTAAAGAAAATTTCACTATATCTGCTGAAATGTAAACAACATATAGATGTATTAGATTTGAATCAATACCTCTTGCTGTTCTACATAATCTTCAGTTTTCTCGTGTCTTGATTCTTCTCGAGTATCCGTGTCGCTTGACCATGTATCTTCATATTTAATATCTTGAACAGGCGGTATGAATATTCGAGGAACTTTTCTATTGTTATCGTCTTTATCAAAATTAGTCTTCCACGTTAAAAGCTGAAAATCAGCACCACCCGACGCAAAGTAATCTCCGTTGAGAGAAAACGCGATCGATCTAACAGCACCATTGTGTCCTTTGAGCGTATAGATTGGACGGCCTTCTAATAAATCTAAAACCTAAAAAACATTTACATTTTATTATATTTTTATGATGATATATATATATAGCAGTTTGTTACTGCCTTTCTGGAGTCAACAGAACACGGATTTTTGTTTTTTTTTGAAGGGGAAAAAAACCGTTCCCATGTTGCTAGACTTTAGTGATTTGATGAGAACTAATAATCCAACGTGGCTATGCCATTAACTGATGATATATATAAAATGTATAAAAAGAATTCAATTACTTTCATAGTAGTATCTTCGGAAGCAGTTAACATAAAATTTCCTTTGGGATGAAATTTGGCAACGTGCACAGGACCTTTGTGGATGGCATAATGTTGATACAACGAACCCATTCTTAGATCGTATAATTTTATGTATCCACCGATATTAGCTGATCCAATAACACCGCCACTTGGATGGAATTCCACATATAAGGCTGGAGCTGTAAATTTAAGTTTTATTATTATTTAATTTGAATAAATTGAAATGTAAAAAATGATTGCAACACATATAATATACTTTTAACTTCATTAATAGTTTTAACACATTTTCCAGTAGAGACATCCCATAATTTAACAGTTTTATCATCGCTGCAGGATATTATAAGTCTGCTATCAGGAGAAAATTTGGCACATCTGACCCAATTTGTGTGTCCATTAAATGATAAAAGAAATTTTCTTTTACATAACATCCACAATTTACAAGTTTTATCATACGACGCACTGAGCAGCTGAAACATAAATAAATCTATTAGAATAACATTCAAGGATAAATATTTAATTTGTTTAATTTGAACAATAAAAACAATACCCGTTCTCCATTTGGACAAAAATCTAATGAGCTTACAGCTCCCGAATGTGCTTTGAAATCTATAGATTGTCCTGTTATCCTACTAGGTATCCATATTCTTATAGAACGATCTCTTGATGCACTGGCTATGATTTCACCAGAAGGCGCATAACTAACATCCAATGCAGCATCTTGGTGCGCCTTTAATTGAAATCCTCTAATTGAATCAGTTAAATTCCATAACATCAAGGTTTTATCCAAACTACTAGATACAAGTTGATTATTATTAGGATGAAAGTGGAGACCGGTAATTGCACCCTTGTGACCTTTTAAATGTCTTTCGATAGCTGGATCGCATGCTGTCTCCACCATTACTATATTATATATATATATGAAGTTTATAAATATTATTACTAATAATTTTAACAAGAACGTTATTTAGCTTGAATATAAATATGCTAAATTAATGACAAATAATAAAATGATATCTAACATTGAATTGAAAAAAAATAAATAATGTAGAGATAATTATTGTCAAATAAAAATAATAATCCTAAACTAATTTTTTGTTTAAATAAAATCTTGATAGAAATTTAATTTCAAACGAATATATGCTTAGTTCTATTACTACTCTAGTCTAATAACAGTCCAAACAGAGAATTCATTTTCGAGGTACCAATTGTGTTTCTGTTATCGAGGCGCCATCTGACGTAGGGCGGAAATAAACTAATATTCAAATGGAAAACTAATGGAGTTTTCTTACAACTTGAAATTTAGTGTATATATTTTCTATATAATCTATAGTAATACAGCACATATATATTACCGTAAAAGATCGAAATTGGAGAAAATCAACATTCACATGGCCGTTTGAAGTATGTTCAAAATATTAATGTATAAGAATAAACCCAAATATTCGGTTTTTCACCGATGTATTTGGTATGTGTTGACAATTCACCATGTGAATCTTGACATTATCCAATTTCGGTCTTTCACGATTAACATATACACTTTATATATGTATTTTGATTTAGTTTAATATTTATTTTAAAAATATAGTAACGTGTTGCAATTAACATTAAAAAACGCTGAAATTGTAAGAACAATATAATATACAGTATTGAACTACTATATTGAAAGAACAATTGTACGTATAAAGACATTGCTATAGGATATACAAGATTGATGATATCGTTTACGCTATTAATTAAACACTTTATTACTTGGTTTTTAATTTTGTATATTTTTTTTTTTCAAGAACAGATGTAATGACGAAATGCCTTCATTTTAAGCTACGTGATAAGATAGGCTAATTAGCAGGGTTGAATTAGATCTTTATTTGGAAGATACACAGGTATTGATAATAGGATAATAAAAATTAACTGTCGATTAGAGATGATTAAACGAAATACAGTACTTTTCATAACGCATACATAGCAATATGTAAAACGCAGTTTTGTGTTTTTTTTTAAAGGTGTACTTCACAAGTACACCCTTTTATAATTAATTATACATTTATAGCGTATTTACCACGCAAAGAACTTGCTCTGCATATTAGAGCTCTTAATATTTATTTCTTTTTACAAAATATAATTCTTTACTTTCCAAAATAAAAAATCAATTAATCATACATTTTCAATCATCGACATTGCATAGTTATGCGCTTTTAAATAACACTATTGTCGAATTTGTAATAAAGAGGATCATATAAAATTTTGAAATGGAATAAAGAACAAGAAAAGAAAAAATATATATATATTTATAAATAGAAGAAAGGGAGAACAATATGAATCTTCGGAAGAGGAATCACGTAACTCATCCATGATTAAACATTTTTATAAATTAACGTATCCTCATCCACATTTTACGACTATAAATCTCAGTAACATTTAATCTAAATGCTTCAAATTCGTAGACCGGAATTGGAATAAAGTCTAGAAGTTTATCACTAGAAGGCATTCTCTGTATCCTTTTTTTCTGGTATCTTAAAAAATCTTCTAGAACGATGCGCCGCAAGACAAAGAAACTAGTCGAGCAGATCGTCCCTATTCTTTTACGATCGTCTTATAATTACATTTTTAAATACGTTCTCCTTCAGTTTCCGTGAAATACGTGTAATGAGTTCTCGCATATTTTTTTTTCTTGTCATTCTTTTTATAATAAAATTATTATTATACTTTTTATTGATGTTGTTGAACATTTGTTGTCCTATGAAATCTGCCTTTTGTTACAACACAATAATACTTGCATAGTAGGTTCATACTTCAATGAATTTGGTTGATCTTCATCTTATTTCTTCTTTCTTTTTTTATATATCACAATATTACATTTTCATTTTTTGTTTCTCTATACATTAATGTTAATGTTATGGGATTTTTTTCTTTCAATGATTATAAATACCAAATTCAAAAATGCAGAGTTATGTTATTCATCGTCCTATTTAAGAAACATCCTAAGCCAGATGCATAAGTACCAGCATGTGTGTGTTACAACAACTTACTGTGAAATAATAAGACACTAGGAGAGCGCTTTAAAGTTATGCAATGATAACTTTTTTCCCCATTACATCTATATCTTACTATATTACTATAAATAAAAATTCATACTGCGCATTTTCTTTGTACATGATAAACGTAGTATAATGCAACATTAAATATCAAAGATTCTGTTTCTTCTTTCTAGGGATCGCACTTTTGCATACATTACATGTATATACTTATGCAGATGATATCTATTTGTGTATACATCATGTGCCCCGAGTATGTCGAAGATGATGTATTTGTGCCGACTTAGGTTTTTTCATAAATAGACAATTGAATAGTGATCTTAGAGCGTTAATATAACATTTCACTGTGCATTAATTCTATCGTTTAGTTGTTACTGTTGTGCCTGTTGTGGCTTACCGCGAGGTGCATAACCGCCGCGATTTCCTCCTCTTTGACTTCGAAACTGTCCCCCTCGTCCACCTCTATCCATTCCCCGTTCACCTCGAGGACCACCTCTTGTGCTGCCTCCTCCTCTTTTAAATCCTCCATTATATCCATTTCCTTCGTTTGCCCACGACCGTTGTTGGTAACCATTTTGATAGTTACTGTCATTGCGGTAATAAGCTGTTCATTGTTACACGAAGCAAACAATTTCAAATAAAACATATTTCATGTGTTAATAAATAAATAAATAAATGTAAATAATGCTTAATTGTTTACCTTGTCCTGTACGGCCATTTTGCTGATAGCCACCCCTGCCTCGTCCATTGTACCCGTTTGAATTACCTCTCCTTCCACCTCGGCCTCTGTATCCACTCCTTTGTTGATCACTCCATGCTTGTTGAGCTGCTTGTGGTGGTTGCTGTGGCTGTTGTTGTTGTGTATCTGGAATTGGCTGTTGCGCTGTTTCTGCTTGATTCCAGTCTACAGGTTCTGTTAATTGAACCCAATCAAAAGATTCGCTTGGTTGATCTGCAACCTCTACCTCCACAGCAACTGGCTCTTCTTGTTCTTCTTTTGTTTCCTGTATCATATATATTTATATCATTGTTTATTTCCAATTCAAATATAATACAAAACTTTAATAATATTAATATATAGATACGATGCACGTACTTCTGTATGTTTTTCTTGGCCATCTTGTTGAGGTGACTGTTCAAAATTTGCCCCTGGTGCTGGAATAGGCTGAGATGCAGCTTGTTGTTGAAAACCAGCGGGATGTTGAGGACTGTACTGTATATTAGGTTGATGTGATGGTGGCATAGGAATTGGGGGAGGTGGATTAGGATTTGAAAATCCAGGAATGTGTGACATGTCTTGTGGTGGTTGATGCTGATATATTACCTGTTGGGGTACAACAGTTGCGTTTGTAAAATTCTGATTTGTAAATGTTTGTGAAGGTATAGGTGCATTAACTGCAGGAATGTGTGATACGATAGGGTTTTGGGATGTGACGTCTGGCGAATCAAGTTCAGATTCTTGTAAAAAGAAAAAATTTGGTGTCCCAATGACATCATTAATTCTAGCTTGTTGCTGTGGCTGTGTTGATTGCTGCTGCTGCTGTTGTTGTTGTTGTGGTGGTTGTGGTTGCGGTTGTGGTACAAATCCAGTTGCATTTGTATAGTATGATGGTTCAACAGGTGCAGTTGGATGTGGTGGGATTGGTTGAGGTACAACTGACATTGGGCCGGTAACTGGAGCAGTGCCCGATACTACAGGAAGTGGAGCTACCTGAACTGGAAAGCTAGGAATTGGCATTATAGATTCAGGTGGAATGTGCCTTTCGCTGTTATTAAACTCTTCGTGTTCTGGCACAGACGTATCTGTCGTTACTTGTGTTTCTGTACTAGTTTCATTGTTCTGTAATAAACATGATGCATGTAATTAAAATTAATTCAAATATAAACATTAATTAAATTAATTGAATATAATATTTAATGTTACATATAAACTTGAATACATATACTTGCTTACTTCCTCGACTACGGGCTCGGAGGCATGAGTCTGATCAAAGTAACCAGACTGATGTATGGAACTAATGATTTCTTTTAATTTATTATAAGTTGTCCCAGCAACTTCTCTTTGTTTACCATCAACAAGTGCCACGTAATGTTCGGCAACTTTCTGAATTTGTTGGACAATCGTTGGTTCTCCCTCTTCGCGCTTATGCTTCATCATTATTTCCTTATACAGATCGTCTATGTATTTCAAGTCCTCATCAGAAATTTGTATAGCTCCATTTTCACCGGATAGAAAATCTTCTCGTACAGTACTTGTACTCATACTCGTCAGAATATCTTGTATCAGTAATACCTCTCTAACCTAGATTATAAAAATAATTAGAAAATATTGTGATAAGGATTCTAGGATGTTCTCTATTTTTTAGAAGTACAAGATCGATTCTTTTAATTGTTATGCACATAGAAATATCAATGAACGAGTAAGAAGAATGACTTTTACCTTAGCGATATCTTGTTGCGTCCTTTCTACTGCCTCTTTCCGTGCCAATTTTTTCTGTTGTTTGACTGCATCATTGGCAATGCCAACGATTTGTTTGTACAATTCGCGAGTAATTTCCAAAGTTTGCAAAACTCCATCGTATTTGGCTACAGCCTTGGTCTGATCCGCATTCAATTCCTTCCCATTCTTTTGGAGGTCTCTGTATGACTCTAGTTTACCCTAAAAACAAACAATTTCTTTTCTTTATAAAAATATTCCCTTTTATTTCGTACATTAATATTTATAATTAAAAAAAGAAAGAAGAAAAATATGCAGACGAATGACAATAGAATATAATCCACAGTAAATTTTTGTCCGTTCCAAATGTATATTATCGGACTGTTTGAAAAAAAGAAAAAAAGAAAACAATTTAAATAAATAAAATACACAAGACTAAAAAAAATTATATTATTCAATTGAACGGACTATTAAAATATTAAAAGAAATGCAGTAAAAAACCGGTGCGTAGAGATAAAAAAAATGTCGCGAGAAATGGACAATATATATGCAAATATATATTTTTGTCCTAATTTAAGAGCTGAGGCATGAAACATATAAGGAACAAAATCTAAATTTCTCGTTAGAAAATAGTCAAATAAAATAAAAGATAAATTAAGAATGAAAGTGTAGAGAGAGAAAGTGTTAAGGTAAATTATGGAAAGGAAGTTTTGATGCAACTAAAAGGTACCGCCATGACACGAGGTTCGAAACAACGGAATTATATTTTAAACGGCAGGAAATGATAAAATCTTCAGTGAAAATGGCTTATATTGAATGATTCGTTAATTAATTGTCGAAAGGATAAAGAAATACTATTGATAGAATAATATTTTAATATCGGCGAATTTTGTAATGTGAAGCACATGGCGTATCAAAGAAACATGGCGGATTACACGATAGAAGCCGCCTTGACAGGTAGATTTAATACCAAATATCGATACTTTATTACTTTAATTACTAACCTTGCGTTTTTCTAGATTTCGTATCTTATGTTCGATTACTATAATCGCTTGCCGTATAGGTTCTACGGTCTCCGTAGAGGCCTGTTTTTCCAACTTCGGATTCGCGGAAGGCATCCTCGGGTTAACTAACACGTACTGAAAAATGGAATGAAGACTAAATCGCAAGAGGAGCGGGGCAAAGGAAGGGACCCCTCGTGCTGTTACTTTTATGAGTGTTAGTGCACTATGGAGGGAGAATATAAGCCTGCGCATTGCTAACTTCACACTTAACTTTCTCCAACTCTTTCTTACGACCAACAATTCTTTTTTCTTTCTATATTACTGTCCATTCTATCATATTTATTATCTATTATTAAACTAATTAAATAACTTTCGTTAAATAAACTTGCTCGAAACGTCTTGTGAACAATTTATTAACCACGTACGTGTGTAGAATTGGGACCAGTATTGAGTTCGATATCTCGCGCGCCTTTTATCGAGTTTCGATATATTTCAAATTCAACTTGTTCAAACAATTTGATATACATATAAATCTTATTTTTTTACTAATCTCTTTTAATGAATTAACATAAATTATTGTAATTTATGTAAAAGAGATAATTATTTGTAATTAATTACAATTAAATAATATTAAGGTAGATACTATAATTTTATAGCTTATATTCAAGATTTTGCTGTGTCAAAATTCTATGCATATACTACATATATATACACATATATAACAAGCGTATGTTAACTGTATGTCTTTTATTCAAAAATGATTAATAAAAACATAAATTATGCGATTAAAATATTCTACTATATAATATATTTTTATAATTCGTTCAAGATAACAGTACAACTTCGCAGTATTCAAAAAAAAACTTTTTATAATTCAAACTGTATGATGAAGAAAACCTATAGAAAAAACTTTACATAGTATTTAATAATAAACAAAGTTCTTAACCATCGCTTTAAAAAAAAATCTCTCATATATATATATATATATATATATATATATATGAATAGTTTAATATCGTATGCAACGATGAAAGTATGTTGATCATTGGGCAGGTACTATATACGACATTATAATATTTTTATACAATTTAATAAGATCATCTAATCGGAATTTTGTCGAGAAATTTTTCTTTACATTTATTATCATTTTTAATATTCGTTTATTTAAAAAAATCTATTCATTCCCGTACGATGATTTTTATATACAACACCTGCATTTTTTTATTTTCTTTGCAATATGAGTTATTGCATGGCACATTTCGTCAGAAAGAAGATATCCTTCATGTAGTCAATGCTCTTTTTATTGTTTTTATTTGTTAGTTAGTTTTTGGGTCCAAATGCCCTGTGCATCTTAGATTTTGAATATAATAAATCCTCCAATTAATTTATAATACATCTCAAATGCACCACTCCTTATGACTCTATTACTGATACAATAATTTTATCTTGATACAACATATGAAATGTGTTCTAAAACCTGCTGCTAGGCATTGCTTGTTTTCTTTTTTTCTTTTTTTTCCTTCTTATAGCGACTTTACAACACACTCCTGTACTAAATTATTTTTTTACAATTTACAAATATATTTGATACACACATTTTCGAAAAATACATTCGCGCCACGCACGCATATTACCACTTTTTTTTTCTTCTTTTTTTTTCGAGAATATTTGTTTTTTTATTTTCATTTTTCTCTCTAATAAATCTGAAAAACAGGTCATAAATTTAAACGATATAAGCCTTAAACAAAGATGACCGCGATGAGATTAATAATTTCATGATTACGATGATAATGACGATGATGAAGATAATATAATCATAAACGTAATAATAACATAATTTAAATCTAATAATGGTATTTAATGTACAGTAAACTATTATTGAATATCCCTCTATCACTAGGTATCCAATATTGGAAAGTATTTGTAACGTTAATCATATAAAATGTTAGATATCTTTATATGCATATGTATATATATATATATAAATCGTTGTAAATTAAAAAGAAATTCTATTGAATTACATTATAGAATACTTAATTATTTTTTTCAGATAAAAATAAAATAGATCTAAGAATATTCTAATGACAAAAAGAACCTTCCATGTTATTTCTTAAGTTTTCAATATTTACAACGCATTACAAAAGTTAGAACTTTATAAATTTTATAATTATACATCAAGGCCAAAAATCTAAAATACATAATTTTTATTATTTTGTTTATACATTTCGAGAATATGGTTGCAACGTATTATAATTTATTCATTTTTCTTTTATCGCAATTGCTCTACATTTTGTCAGAATATAGAAATGGGTTCTTTTAAAACGAAGAATTAGCAGTACATTACTGTTTACAAATTTTGTCCTTAACGATGATATTTATATATATAACGTAAAGTAAAATAAATTTATATGTACGTTTATATATACAGAGTTACGATATTTCAGATCAGATTTAGGGCCATTTATGAGTTCTTTAAATGATATTAATTGTAAGATACATTTTATCTGATACTAAAATGATACAATTTCTAGATACAAAAGACGACGAACAAACTTTTTGACGTAATTCTGTTCGTTTTCGTAGAATTAATTTTTATTTATAATACTTTCTCTCTCTCTCTCTCTCACGTTTTTATGTATGCTTTATACGATTTACCTTAATTCGATTTTTTTTTTAATTTTATTTTTAGATTGCAAAGTACGTAAAAGTAGAGAAAGAAGGGAAAAAAGGAATTAATTCACTTAATATTCACAAGGACAAAACTTAGTAACAGTACTGTACAAGCATTAACTATGTATATAATGAAAACAAATAATTATTATTTATATGTTATAATATATATATACAAAAAGGCCTCTGTGGAACCTGAATATTGCTATTATTATGACCACTATACGTAAATATTCATATAGCTCTAGGAGTATATTATGTATGCAAAATAATATTTGAAAGTAATTGAAGAATCAAAAAAATATAAATAATTTTCTTTTGTATATATATAACGTGGAAGAATTGTATATCTAAATGTTGCACTGGAAAATAATAATAATAATAATAATAATAATAATAATAATANAAAAATAATAATAGTAGTAGTAGTAATAATAATAATAATAATAATAATAGTAATAATAATAATAATAATAATAATAATAATAATGATGATGATAATAATGATAATAATAATAATAATAATTGCAATCAAAATCAGACTTAGATATACAATGCACAAGTATATAATGCGTATAGCAAAAAACATAAATTTATTGAAAAAATATTTAATACTTGGAAAAATTATATCGGTTAAACATAATTTCTTCTTCCTTTTGAAATCATGGTATTAAAGGTGTACTTCTTCAAAAGGTTTTGGAACACTTTAGGATACTTTAAACCTATTTGATACACCTGAAATCTTGTTTACATGCTTATTTGCACTTAGTAAATATGCGTATGTACAACATAAATATTACATAAATATTAGTTAACTTGCCAATCGTATAAATAGCAACTATTTTGCAAAAGTAAAAAAGGAAATACATATTAACTTTAAAAGTTTATACGTACAGGAACAAATATCTTAACAGCTTCCGCCGCTTATTGTTAAGCACGGACTTGGAATCGCTGTTATGTGATGTATGCAAATATGTTACAGAAAAAATCTTTGTTCACATTGTTAACGTCATGTTTTAGATAGAACCGAAGTTCTGTCTTCATACGTTTTTACGATTTATCACGTTGTATCTTCACTCTATATGAGATTATCACGATACAAATAAGTATGTTTAACTATTTCACACCAGTGTCCAAATTCAATTCCACTATTCCACTATTTTTATATCACTATAATGGCAAAGTTTGGGCTTAAACTAATTGCTATACTAAAAATGTATATATAATACATGTTCAAAGTGTTTTAATTTTCATTTATACCTCGATTTACTCTCAATAGCTCTTTCATTTCTATAATTACAGTCCTTTGTTAAACTTTAATTAATAAATTTAGAGTTCATCGTAATAGAATTATCCACAGAGTTCTTCCCAAATGTTAATATAGAATTCTTCAATGTGAGAGACAAATACACATTTGTTCAACAATTATGTATACCACTATAATCGTACATATATTATGACGTTTAAATAACAAACAAAACCATATTGTATAGCACCACTAAGATGATACACTGTTGATTTGCGTATTACATGACACCGTTAGCAAACTGCTATCAGTGTTCTGTACAGGCACCTGTGAATCTGAAGTATTAGTCGATCCCTTAGTTGCACGCACAGATGAATTATGAATTTTCATTTCTTCTGCATGATTTACTGAAATAGATGACGACGAAGACGAAAACGACGACGACAATGAAGATGAGGACGAAGTTTCCGTTGGACTTGACTTTAATTTTAATTGTTGCTCCATACTATCAATATTTGCCCAAATCCTTCTTACTTCTTTGAATAACTGGAGAAAAAAAACAGAGAGAGAAAATGTATTTTAATAAATCATTAATAAAGGCAATTGATACTATATGAATTAATTACTTGATTCAACCAAGCTTCATCCGCTAATAACTCATTTAATATTATTGTTGTATCCTTATGAGGATTGGCTGATCTTTTATCCGTCACTCTTCTTGCACATTCCAAAAACATGAGATACTTTTGATGAGCTACTTTATTATATAAAGCTACCTTAGTTTGACAAACTCGACATAGCAAAAAATCCTGTAAATTTATCAGATATAAAATGAGAACAATTCAAGTTAGAAGATATTTCATGTTTCATTAATAGACGTTTATGTATATATATATATATATGCATATATACTGAACCTTTTCTAATGGTACTTTTGGATCAGGAGGCGAGCCTTCCAATGTAGTACTATTATAAGGTTGACCGTAAAGTAAAACTCTAGCATAAATTTTTATTTGCTGACAACCAGCGCATGGTTTGTTCTTATATTCAGATGGTGCCAAATCTTTTAATGCGTTAATGCACGGCCACGTTGAAATTGCAGTTATAAAATCAAATCGCCACTTTGTGGTAGAAAGAAGACGTTGTTTTCTTTCATCTGTTACTTCATCGACTGTCTTTACATTGGATAAGAAATAATCATCTGAAAGAAAGGAAAAAGAAGAAGAATAATTATGAAAACAATATAATTATGGTATAATCATATATCATTATTGAGCTAAAATCGTTAAATATTGTTTTAACCTTGCTCTTGGAATATCTCAGTTAAGAAATTAGAATCTAAAGCTTGCGAGATTAATGTTTGTATGTACACTTCAAAATTATCTTGATATTTTTCAGTGTTCTTCATTAACTTATTTATGCATTCACTGAAAGTGCAAACAAAGAAAATTAGATTTGTACATCTTTTTCGTTAGTTTTAAAAAATATTATAAAGTGTTCACCTGTCATCAATGATCATTTCATCTCTTAAAAATTCTACAATAGTTTCTAATTTGGATTGTTGCCAAAACTTAACTGGCACTTGCTGATATATATGGCGATTTTGTGGAGCCCAACCAGAATACTGAAATTATATTAATTATATAAATATTAATATCCTTTATTATTATTTTTTGTTATTATATTATTTCATAATATATATTTTCATTACCGTAGATATGTTTCTATATAACGTTTTGCCATTGGACTTAAATGGCTCATATTTTTGCAACAACGTTTTACCGTCTATTCTCCATAGAGCCGGGTACTTTTCATCTAAATCTGCTTTGATTACAACAAATTCACCAGACTAAAAATATAAATCTATGGTTATTTTATTATTCTACAAAAAGAATATTTGAAGATATAAATTTTATATACAACTTGTAAATCATTGAGGTTTTCAATATATTATTAATTATATCAATGTGTGATATATTTGTTTGTAAATTATCCCAATAATTTATATATATGTGTGTAAAAAGAAAAAAACAAAAAGAATAGAAATTACCACATCTTCAAAATTGTTGATGGAATGCTGCATGCAATAATAATATTTATGATTTAATTTGTATTGGCGAACTTTCCTCAATGGTATTAACAAATATACCAAATATAATTAAAATATAAACAAATTACCTGAAATGGAGATATATCAATGTCATCGTCGCTGGCTGATGTAACTAATTTCTCATCTATTTTAGTCGATATCTTAGCAGAATTGCTAGAATTTTTAGAATATACATCATGTCTTTTTCTGACAGATTTTTTGGAAACAATAATTTCGCCAGACGAATAACCATCTTCTTCTAAAGACTTTTTATTTTTCTTTGTGATAAGAGGTCGTCCACGTTTCTTTCTTTTGTCTTCTTCATCTCCAACTAATTTAACGGCCGGAGTCCATGCAGGATCAGAATCAGAATCACCTTGTTCTTCATCGTTATCAAAATAATCTATACCCTGTTGTTTATCTAAAAATTGTTTTACTGACGTTTTTTCCTTAGCTTTTCTCTTGGATGTTTCTCGTCTTGGGGGTAAAAGCAGAGGATCCACTGAAAAGAAAAAGAAAAAATCATCAAGAGATTAGTTATTAGAATTTATACATAAAAACATATTTTAACTATACCTTCTTCGAACTTCTTCGATACTTTTCCACTGGATGCATGAATGGGTGTTTCAACCACTACAACAGCAGCGGCAGAAGCGGCGGCGGCGGCAGCAGCAGCAGCAGCAGCAGCTTTCCGTTTTCTATCCGTTGGTCCTCCAGGCTTAATCGGTCTTCCTTTTCTAGATTTACCTTCTTGTTTTGCGGTTGTAATATCTGTTGCATTAGTGGTATTAGTAGATGTTTTTCTTTCTGTTTTTTTAGGTGGAAATAGAAAATCATCATCACTAGTAAATCCATCATCGCTTGAGTCAAAGTTTGGCTTTTTCCTTTCTTTAGGCAATGGAAAATATCTAGGATCATTAGCATAATCAATTGTTGGCATTTCCTTTGGAGGATTTGATTTTTCAGTTTGTATTTTAACTGTTTCTCCATTTGTAGAAGTTTCCGAAGGTTTGCTAGGTTCTATAGGAATATATGGTTTCGACCTACTCCACGTCGCTTTTCTACCACCTCGTATTGCGGGTGGCGGCGAAGGATCTCTTTCACCTTGTAAAAACTTCAAATAACTTGTCATGAATCCTGAATTATTAGGATCTCTTCCAGGTTGTTTAAGACTTTTGTTCATTTGATTAATAGTTTGCAATGGTTGTTGATTTTGTTGAAGAAAACCTAATTCTTCTTCTATATTAGGAACGATAACTTTTGGTTGATCGTCTCGTATTTCTTGATTATAATTTGAATTTTGATTAATTGCATTTTCCCCAAAACTAATTGGCGTTATATCAACAGAAGATTGAAATTCATGAGTATGATGAGGATGATGTCCTGGAGGTATATGGAAAGGTGGGAAATAAGGAATAGGAGGCGGTGCATGATGGTGCGGTACCATTATTGACTGATGTTGATGAGCTGGATTTCCAACAAAATTACTCGAATGATGCAACGTCGATTGAGAACTAAATGCAGCAGGTGCACTTGTAAACATTTTAGAGGGAGGTGGAGGTAAATTCCACCTTTCTAAGTCATAATAACCATTTTGTTGTTGTTGATTTGTATTGTGATGCGCAGGAGGTGGTATTCTGCTTAAATATTCCGTCATAGTTGTCGTTCCTGTAAGTTCATTTAACGTAGATCCGTGAACTCCCTTTTCTGAACTTTTTTTCTTTTTATTAACAGAATCTACTTTACGTCTTTCTTCCACTTGTTTCTGTTGATCATTTAGAGCGGTAGGTGTTGTATGCTGCTGTTGTACTTGACAGGAACTTTGTTGTAACGTTTGTAAATTTTTTACGATACTCATCGGATCTCCTCTGCAGCTACTTAAATCTTGCAAAGTAACTTGATTGGAATCGAAATAGGGTTGCTGCCTCTCAGAAACATTTAGTACCCTTTGTACCTGTTGTTGAATAGGTAACGTTTGAGGGTTTATTTCTGTGTTACCAGTTGCATACACTGCCACAGAAAATTTCCTGTTTGTGTTTGTATGCCTATTATTATCATTTTCCCAACATATTTGTTGCTTTTGGGTTTGAGAGAAGTCCTGTTGTTGTTTGTCATAACTTTTAGCTTCTGTATTATAAGTTGGTTTATTATTTTCTGTAGTACCTAATGCCCTAGTTATCACTGAAGAATATGCAACTTGACCCTGCGATGCAGGCCGAGGAATGGTAACATCAAGTGGCGAAGGTGGTGTAACTTGTTGCTGAACTGTTGCTTTATACTGCTGTCCGCTAGTACATTGATTTCCATTATTTTCAGTATGTTGTTGCAATGGCGAAGGAGAAGATATTGTTGCCATTGGACTATTATACATTGGATATGCAGGACTTGGTACATGTCCTAGCGGACTAGCTTGCGAATGTGCTTGCAAGGGACTTGGTCTTCGTGGTACAACAACACTGCAGTCTGGACCATTTTGAGTTGAATTGTTAGAAGAATAAGCAGAATCAGTAGATGCTGTTGATTTGGATCTATTAGAATGGTGATATTCAGTATCATTTGCTGAATTGGTTACATAGTGTCTATAAGGTGTTGCTGATTGCTGCTGTTGACTTAAAACATGAAACTGTTGCTGCTGTTGTGGATGTGACTGTAAATTATTATTTGGTGGTGTCCTTTGGTTACTTGCAAGTTTACCACTATTATTATTACAATTTGTAGTATTATTAGTTCCATAATTCATATTATGCGTATCCATGATAGAAAAACTGATAGGCGACGATTGATTACTATCATGTCCTGTTTGTTCATTCCTTCTATGTTCGCCATGATTGCTTAATTCGGGATATATTTTTGTTTGTGCTTTCGTCTGTATACTTTGCTGAGATGTTGACGTAGTTTTGTTAGGTGGAGAAGGAAAACCGCTATTTTGTAAAGGTTGCTTATCTTGAGCTTGCGACGACACAGATCTAACAGCTGTATTTAAAAAAACCGTTGCCGATCCAACAGATCTTGCAGATGGTTGGGGAATTCTGTATTCTTTGCTAGAAGTATTACTTGGCGTCGAGACAATGCATGATTGTTGGTGTTGAAGAGATGCTTGTACCTTACCATTTGAAGCTTGAGTCCCATTACCAGCTGTGTAATTATTTGTCAATGTTTCTGAACTAAATGTAGTCGGAACTTGTTGGAAAAATGTTTGACTGTTACCTCCTTGAGTAGTCGAGACTACCAACTTTATGTTAACATTTGGAGATTGAGGTCTAATATTTACAGCTTTTTTTGCATCCGGATAAGTTGAAGATTTAAAGTCTGCTGTTGAAACAGGAGTAGATAGTTGAGAATTGATGTTGTTTATTGTTGGCGTTCCAGTAAAATGAGCATTAAATGTATTTTCGTAAGCAGCGCTGTTGGTTTTTGCAGAAGGTGGTCCAGGGGAAGATGCAACAACACTTTCATGTGGCAATATACCAAAAGGACTCGGAGGAAGTTGGGAATTATTTTGTTGGGTCCAAGCAAGAGATGACGCAGTAGGCGAAGAAGATGAGTTTTGATGTTCAAAAAAAGTTTGATGAGTCGAATTGTAGCTTTCTCTCAACGGAGATATTTCAGATTCCGTAGTAGTATTTTGTTTGGTCACAGCTTGCACTTGAGTAAGAACTTGTCGATGTTGTGAAACATAAGGTGATTGTTTAGAATTGGGATGATGAAACAAAGGAGAAAAAACGTCGTAGCCCACAGGGGGTGGAGTCATAAACCCCCCTGGGTTGAAGGGAGATGGTTGTCCCGCCAGAGTTGCTGTTGTATGTGCTGCTTGTAATAGTAATTGTGATGTTGTTGATGGTACGGCTTGATTGGTAGCCGTTGACAAATGATGCGATACAAAATCACTATTGGCGCTTGAATTTATACCTTGAAATGTATTAGCTGCAGTTCCTGTTGATGCAAGGCGATTATACGATGCATACCATGGAGTAACAGGATCCATTACCCAAGTTTGGCACAAGGGTGCCTAATCTGCCGCCTAGTCCACTTATGGCAGGCCTTCTTGCGTTTAGAAACGTTGATGATAAATTTTAAATCAATCATACCATAACTTTCAATGGAAACTTTTATACATTTCTCTTCATAATTGTACGTAAGAAAAAACCATTCTATATACTTCTTCATATATATATGAATCGATCATAAAAGCTTCGTCCCAATGTTAAGAATTCTCCATTCTATCCTACGAAAAAAAACACATTTCTTTATTCGTATAGGCACATTGCACGAAGAAATGCAATGAAACACATATAAAAATATAAAAATCTTATTGTTTGATATTACGGAATTAAAAGGAAATAAACAAAAGCATGCAATACTATCTCACAATAAACATTCGTTAAATATATATATATATATATATACATGAAAGAAAAGAATGAAAAGTAATAAAAGAATAATCAATTAATCGAGATAAGAGAAGAAAATAAATGAAGGACGACTGGATAAAGAAGATCACAAGTACTTGTTTGTAATCGTGAAGGAGCGTAGATCGTGGAACCAATCGGGTAATATGTATCACAACGTATTTTAGCGAGCACAGTACCTACAACGGTTCCTATTGTCTTACGATCGTTGATTGCTAAAAACTCTGTACTTGTATGGCAAACAAAAACAATCACGCGCGCTCTCCTTGGAGTCGACGAGCATCCTTCGAATTAACGTCTTTTTCTTTTGGTCCTATCCAAACAATCCTATCGAACAACAGCGTATACTTGAATACGGTGTACTAACATTTCACTTCTAGTGTTCGGTTCTAATCATCGAAGAACGACGGATCATCATCTAGTTCTTTCCGTATCTTATAAACTTATTCTTATATGCAACAACTATTATTTCCTTCTTCGATGTCGTAAAACCTCGCTTAGAGATACTTGATTATGTTCGCCGGTATAGTACGATGATATACAATGTCTTTCTTTAAGAATAACACAGTAAATATGGCCACAGAAACTTCTTGGCCAACGCACGACACACGATCGGGTGGCACCGTTGTTCCGCTCACATGATTCGAGCATACGCAAATATCTAAACATGCCGGATATACCTCGAGACACCCGGCGCTTTTGCATATACACCAAGCTGATACAAACTCGCACAGGCTCATTTATCGCGGGGAATTTAACGGTATTGCCCCCGTGCACTCATTATACCTCGCCATTTTAATCCAAGTCAACAATAAACCGCGCCATCTATCGATTCGATCTGTATGACCAGCAGGGAAGGATCAACCTTGATTGGTCGACTAACAGGGGGCAATTCATTGGCACGATTCTTTGATATCATCTTTTATATCATCTTTGATACATTTTCATATTTTCTACTATTAATTATGTTAACAGTTAATGTTAACATGTTATATTACAATTAAATAAAGTAATAAATTCAATAAGAAAAATGTATCTCGTCTTTTTTCTTTCTATATATATATATATATATATATAAAGACAAGTTTTCCACATAGTTATTCATAGACCAACAATTCGCAATAATAACATTTATTAGAATGATAATGTAAGAATATATTTATAATCGTTATGATAATAATAATATTAATAATTACTATAATAATAGTAAACTACTTTGCAATTTAGATTAATTTCGTATCAATTCTAATAGTGATTATTTTCTGCATAAGTCATGTCAAATTATTGCTATATATAACGGAGAAAAAAATAATTATGTTTATATATATATATATAATAAAATTATTAAATTTAAATTTTTTATATATAAAAAGAAAACCTTATCTAATAGTACAAAGAAAAAGTAGGATTCAACAATAAGACACCTAGTTGATCATATTGCAAATATCAGATAACACGTAGCCACTGCAATGAAATAGAGAAAAGAAACCGATATGCTAATTATAGAATTTATTAATAATAGTCGTAATATATTTTTTTGTTAGTACTTTATAAATGTTCATACGAATTACCTACATTCTCTATCATATATATGTATCTTAAGTTTTTTATATTTAAAGAGACAATCAACAATGTGTATTAGGATATAATTTTATTATTATAACAAATTGAAAATATTCTTTTAAAGCTAATAGTAGTGATAAAATAGAAATATTTTATTCTTAATTGTGCAGTGGCAGTTATATCCCTATTTTGATATCTGGCAATATTCAGACATTTCGTTACTTTTTATTACTCGTACTTGGCAAAACGTTTGCATTTTACATTTTTCCTTAAAACCTTCATTTATAACTTTTCCTTGTTAAATATTTTTACAAGTTGGAATATCATTAAATTTTTTATTCGAAATAAACATAAATGTCAATGAAATATTTACGATGGAAAATAATATAACAAATAATTGTTTTGGTTTCATCGGCGACGACATTGATGCTCGTTCTCTAATGATTTTTAAAAAATACCATTATTCTTTTAATTGAGAATGCAATACACGAATATTATCTTAACAATCTATAGAAATTAAATAAATAATCTATAAATTACATATTATGAAAATAAACATATACTGATGGTATAATTATTGTGATCTGACTTCATTTCCAATGAAGAATTTGTAAAAAGAGTTTTTTATGATATAAAACATATTTTAAGTATTAATAAATAAAAACAAACAATGCTTCGCGCGGGGCAGCATAGGATGTGTAACTCAAGTCAGCTTTGGTTTTTGTGAAATACATCCATATTAATACCTAATTACGGTAACGTTATAAAATGCAATATATGTAGGATAATTGGTATTGCTTTGTTTTATTTGTGTAGTGTGTGTGTGTTGTTTGTATTTTCATTTAAAACATATTAATAAATGGCTATCTCATTTGCATTTTACGTTGTTGCCATAGGGCGAATTTTCTATATGCAGTATTTAATAATTGATTTAAATGACTGGTTAGATGTTGACTAACCGCAGAGAATTCTCTTTGAACGCGATCCTAAAATATAACATTATATTAATTTATAATCAAAAATGTGCCTCTCTTATTGGTATGAAAAATATAAAAATAATATATGATACATACTTCAAATGGCTTAAGTTTAACCGAATGAAATCTATGTAAGGCTTCGTGCATTCTGATTGCTTTCTCCTCGAGTTGTGGTGTCGTTGGTGGGAAACTTCTCCAAAAATGCCTTAACAATTGACATATACAGACATATACATTACGTAGTTCTGTTTCTAAATCCTTTGGTATTAATTCTGTAATAAATAGTTCGAAAAATTAAACCCCATTTATATACGCATTTATTTTATAGATTTAATTATAATTAAATGTATATATATATATATATATAATATATGTGTGTATATAATATGTGTGTGTATATATATTTACGTCCAAGACTTTCTTCTCTAAAGCTTTTCATAAGAGATCCTCCGGGTGTCAATTCTCCTAAAGCTGATACAGCAGCAGCCGGAGTAACTAATGATATAGGAGCTTGTCTAGGTAGACTGTTTCCTGAAATCCAAGAGGCTGCTTCTTTTTGTAATTGATTTACTGCCATTAAAAGTTCATCTGAGGGTGCTTCTGTAATTCCGTACCCTGGTACAGGACCATGCAAATATCTGTCTACGTGTGTTAAACGTAATGGTGCACCATTATCTGTATTTGAGTCGCAACTAGCATCGAGATCATCATAAATTAATTTTTCTTGTATCCTAAGCTGTGAAAAGATAAGATATGTAAATGTAAAATCTTTTATATATATGTCATGAATATTATTAAGTATATAAAAGAAAAAAGAAAAAGAAAAAAATAACTTTCTTACCTTTTTATTCTTTGGTTGGAAATCTGATTCATCATTGGCAGAAGCTTTGCTTGCTGATGGGGTTGAACCGTTTAACTGCGGTTGATAATTTTGTGTAGATTGTTTAGCAGTACTGGCTTTCAAAACCATAATACTATGCTGATTAAATCTTTTGATCATACTCTGATGAACAATATTCCCTGAAGTTTTGTCGGATTTACTTAAGCCGCTTCCATAATTTTCATCTAATGTTTGATCCTCGAAGGAAGTAATATCAACCAGAGGATCGTTTATTCCAGATTGAATATCTTTCTTAAGTTCTTGATCATCTATTTTGGCACATTCGGTAAATAGATCCTTGGTCCCTGCATTGATACGATCACGATGAAAATAATGTGATTGAAAAAATTTAGTCCAGAAATCAATTTCTGTCATTTTGTGAGGCACATTTTCTTGATGTTTTCTTTTGACCGCCGGATAAGTTTTAAATATACATTCCATAATATCTATAGTTAAATTATATTTCAGCCCATTGCAACCATCGGTCTGTGGTTTAATATCAGCCTAAACGTCGAACAAATAATTGTTAGTAATTGCAAAATAAAGTTCCCAGTTCATCTATTTTACACATACTTAGAACGTAAAAATAACAGTATAATCATTCGTCTTACTAGAAAAGCACCATTGACACCTATCTCTTGACGTTGGACTTTCTTAGCACGTGTGTATTCTGCAGCATGTTGTGTCCAAAATTCTTCAGAGGTAATCACTTGCGGTATTACTAAATCGCGATATAATTGTAACAATACTGGATTTTCTTGTAACATTCTAAAAAAGAACAAAATTAATATCAATGAAATCAACGATTGGTAAGTAAAAAAATAAAAATGTAAATATTTACTTATTTTTTTCCTCCAATTCTTTGTTAACTTTCCTTTTAAATTTTGGTAACAGTTGCTGTAGTAATTCCTTAACATCATCACGATCCTTAATTTGTGCTTCCTGTCCATTACGATTAACAAAATGAAACGTAGACGAAGATCCATCGTGCAGAACCACTTGTAGTTGTATCTTTGATTTTCCTTCAGGCGATATCTTTTGTACTAAAAACAAACGCGATACAAATAATTAAGAAATTATATTTAATATTTATTTTTTAAATTAAAGATTTTTCCAAAGGAACACCGGTCTATATTAATTATATGTAAATAACTTATATTATGAAACATAATAATAGAGTTTTGAAAGGGACGCGTAATTGCTTAATAAGCATAGAAATGTTTTAGCAAAAAATGTGAATACATTCTAAAAATATTTGACAATGATTTGAACAAACAATATATAATTGAATTAGTCATATAACAATGATAAATTCATCAGAGATAAAAAGCGCGTTGAGTTTTACTATTCTTTTATTAAACATTAGTTTATTAATTACAAAAACCCATCAAGTTCTTACATTTAATATCAGCGTATTTGTGACTGACAGATACAGTATCCCTATTATCGAGCATCCAAGCTATTCGTTCATTCATAACATATAAAGTACCATCTCCCTTCTTGTAACGTACTTGTCCCACTTGCATTAAAACATCTTCCGACGACGTAGTCATGGTGGATGTAATCTATCGTATAATTCTTCTAAGATCGATAGATAATATTCTGTAAAAGATAAATCATAATATCGTAGCAATTATTTATTACTATACACAAAGAAAATATTCGAGTTTAAAGTCAGCAATGAAAAAATACCTAATCATATACATAATGTTTCATATATATGTACTTATTTAAAATAAAATATTCTAAAGCAATGATATTAGTCTAAAATTGATGTTACTTTTATTTAGGTTTAATTGGATAAGAAAAACAGTAAAAATAAAATATTCATAAATAACGTCAAACGAAAGCAAAGTTTATATTAAGAATAATGATAAAAAAAAGATATATTAAGAAATAAAATGACGAAAAAATGAAATAATTTTTCGTCTATCACAACAAAGGAAATAAGTGTGTATGTTGTGCATGCGCGCGTTAGTATGGAATACGTTGTTCTATACAGTGACCGATTTGTTTGTCATCATGTCCTTGAGTACGACATTGAAAGGAGAAAAAAATAGAAAGAAAAAATATAATTTTAATGAAATAATCAGAAAGATCGAGCGGACTTGTGAGTGGTAAAAATCTTCGATAGTAATAAACATGTGTGAGAAAATGCTATGTGTCTTTTTCTTTCTTTCTTTCTTTCTTTTTTTCTCTCTCTCTCTCTTTCTCTCTCTCTCTCTCTCTCTCTCACTGTGGTAATACCAAAAGGATGCGGCAGTAGTACGCACTTACAACTTGTAATTAAGATTTGCCGATGAAAAATTTCTATTTTACACGATTCGAATAATTAAATAAACTTTTCTCATTCACCTGAAGGAAAAATACAATGATAATAGGAGAAATTACCGGTAGTAAAGTGTGAAAGAGCGTAGAACGATATACGGTCCTTACGGGCGGCACGGCCATGTGCAGAAACGCACATCGGTGGACGCATCGCGAAGCGAAGACGGCTACGGACGGACCGTCGGTATGAATAACACCATCGACCAGCTGAAGCCGGTATACTACGTTAGTCGAAACTCATACCAAGACATTATTTTCATTTGTATACTTTTCTTTTTTTTTCTTTTACTCTCTTACCCGATTATTTCTTATCAATGATATTTTATATTTTTAAGCGATCATGTTTCATGTTTAATATTTATTTGATTTTTTTTCGACGATATGAATTATTACACTTACAGTTGTTAACTTGATTAAAATAGCGTTAATTTCACGTATCTAATCACTTTTGCGCATGCGTTTTTAAACCTTACACTTTGAGCGCGCCAAATTCAAAACGCATCGAAATATCATAATTCTTTATTAATCAGTTTAAAACTGGAAACTTGATATTATTATTATTATTATTATTATTAGGATACATTAATTTCTACATTTTTATTAATTTTAATTTTGCTTCATGTAATTGCGTGAGTTTGTTTTTAATTTATATCAATTACGTTCAACTTCTAAACATAATAAATGTGTATCGATTAAAAAAAAGAAATGTCGCAATGACTATAATTAAATTTTTCATTTGTAGATTTATTTTTATCTATTACGTAAATGAAGTCGATAATGCTATTAATATGTGATATAAAATTCTTGTTGAATACTAATTCGTATTTGATGATTTTCATTTTATGCGTTGTCAATAATTTAAATTTATAACCTATTTTTGCTCTTTGTATTATATACATACATATTGTGACATATCTAATAGATAGTACATATGAATTTTTAATTTAAAAAAATGGAAGGTACGATGCATTATGATTTTATTTACTCTTTATTAAGTTTATATTATTATTAATATTGAAATTAATTGTTATTTGTGTTCTTCTTCAAAGATTTTCAGTATGTAGTTAAAAAACAAGAACGAAAAAAAATCTGTTTTGGTTCTGGATGTTCACGCGATATGTCTAAAAGAGGAATGACTTCTTTTATGAGATATTATGTGAAAGATAATTATGAAAACATTGCTCCTGGTACATACAATGCTATGAATGCATTTTTGGCTATTAAAAATAAAGTATGTTTATGATTGTTACTGTTTAGTACATTATTATTTTTCTTACTTTGTTATCCTTGAATTTTAATAGCCCTGCTTACATAGTATTAGTAATAAAGGATATGGCGGTATTATTAGAGCTGTAGATGCAATTGAACATAGGAAAGATTTTCCGTCTCCAGCAGATTATAATCTTGTTAGTAGTTTCAAGCCTATCAAAGAATCAAAAGTTCCCTTTGGATCTTTTACCAGAACAACTACTTTTGCTGCCAATATAAATCCAGGGTAATCTATTTAATTAGAAGAAGCGAATAAATGGTACTATCTATTTATGTTAGATTTTAAATTATCATAGACCTGGAACATATACACCGGTAAGGAAGAAAGAAATTGCATTTGAGCATAGTTTTGGTGGTAGAGTTAAGATGAGATTGGGAGTTCAATTTAAATGTTGTAGTAATAATACAGACATATGTAAAAACTGTGGACAAAAACCCAAAGGAGATTATTGGCATTGGAAGGATAAAATTTTTGTGTGTAGATTATGCATGATCGATTTGCTCCAAAAACAATCAAGGTATAAAAGAGAAGAACTAAATCATTTTTCTGTAAGTATTTTTACTTATCCCAATATATATGTGGACTATTTCATATCATAAGTATCTATATTTTAGAGAGTGCGTGATTGTTCGGACATTCATCGGCATGATGGTACTGATGCTAATATTTGGTTAATACATCCTGAACTTCTAAGACAAAGGCTCATCAAGGAAACATATCTTACTTTTTATTTAAAAAATTAAATTCAATGCTTCATCAAATTTTGCACATTTGTACTCGGATGTATTTATCAATCGACGCAAGCAAGGCATTATAAGTAGACTTATTTTATTTAACTTTTAAATAAACTTTATATAATGCGATCTATAATTTGATGATCTTTAATCTAATTTCTAGCTTATAATGTATAATCAACTTCATATAATATAATCGTCGATTTATAATACATTATGCGATCTTATTTACACAAAGATGATATAAAAATATTGATATATAATTATAATACTTATAATAAATACTTCAAATAATATAATAGACGTATTTCTAATGATAGAATGTGGATAGTATTTAACATTTTTTGTTTGATGATATTATCATTACGTATACACGATAATCAGTCGATAGAGAAAGGACGTTTTTGACAATTTCTTTTTAAATGTCATCTTATACCTACACTCTTACACGTTCATATTTGGCAAGTATTAGAGATTAGTAATAGCATAATTGTATTACTGCAATAGTACAGATTCACATTCGGTATTTTTATGTTACTAAAAAAGTATTACAAAGTAGTAAATTAAAAAAACGCAATATATTTTTTTGAGAAAGTTAAAATTCTGATCGACATTAATTAATGAATCCTTTTATGTCCCTTGTAAGTCAATACAATTTTAACTGCTTGATGATAAATCTGACGTATCGGTTGTTTGCTTTTGAGGTAATATTTTGGAATTGTCCTCTATAGGATTTCCACCATCCGGTGCTTGTCTCGATGCAGCAGAAACAGATATGTCCGATGAATTATAATAACTATTTTCATCTAATTCAATTTCACTTTGTCTCATCGATAACTTACCAAGAGATATAGTAGTTGTTGATCCTGTACTATTACTTGCCATTAAATTGTTATTAGTAGGATTATGAATAACAGTTACGTGAATATTACCATCAACATTTTCTGAAATACCAGAAGGTGTAAGCCTAAAAATTTCTGTATTTCCAGCGGATTCTGCTGTCGTCCTTTTATCTTTTTCATTGATTTTTTTATCCGGCGATAACGTTATTGTTTCTACCTTATCATGCATATCATCGAATCCACTATTTATGACGATGCCAAAACTCTTAGAATATCGAGTATCTAATTGTTCAACTGCTTGTGTCTCCGGTGAGACGCTGTTGGATACTTGAAGATCTGGCACTAAATGTTGATATAAAAGTGGATTGAAAATATTATCTAAATCCATGTGGCGAACATTGGATGTAATAAGCAGATTTGTCAGCTCGTCGTCATTTTTTAATGTATCATTATTTTCTTCTGCCATTAACTCTTCTCGTATAACTGTTGATATTTTACTGTGAGATGCATGTAAATTTTTGTTAACAGTTGTTGTCGTATTTGTTGTAGGAACGGTATTATCAGTCATCCAGTTTGATAAAGTTAGAGATTCTGTTTGATCCTTGTTTTCTACTTGTATAGGTTTTAGTTTTTTAATAATTTCATGTTTGCTTTTGTTATTATTTTGTGCATTATCCTTCTGAACGGTTGTTAATAAATCAATTACATTTCTTCTCAAAGATGAACCGACTGTTATGTAAGGTTCTACTGGATGTTCTAAAGAAAGCTTATCGAGCAAATGATTTATATGTACTTTTGTTCCTCTTAACGGATATGTCTCATTGTTGTATAACGCATTACCATTCTGTGTATGATACTCTTGTTGAAAATGATTATTCAATAAATTCGAATTCAACTGGGAAGTAGGATATAAAGTATCTCTGGTATTGGATACATTTACATTTGTTATTAAATTATCATTAATTCGTTCAGGTAATTGTTTATATTCATTATTTGTATGCACGCGTGTGTACATACAATTGGTTGGTGCATTTTGGCGCGTATCATGCATATCTGACATTTCAGCTGTAGGAAGTATAACGTCAGTATTTCTATTTTCAATATTTTCATTATAGTTATGTATTTCGTTCAAGTCAAAGTCATTGTCAAAATAATCTTCGAAAGCGGTGTTTGTTACATCGTCTAAACGGGACTGTAGACGTTTCGTAATTTCATCTAACTCTGCTAATTTTTGTCTATATATATATATGAGAAAAATAAATTAATTTAAATATTATTTATATTGCTTTAAATAATTCCATTATACTTAGAATTTTTTTTTTATTTCTTTTATTAACTTACTTTAAAGACGAAGAAAGAAAAGACATAGAAACGTCTTCAAAACTTTGAGTAATATCTATCGTAGGATGACCTATGTGATTATCAAAGTCAGCATAACTGCTCGTTGCATTATATGTAGCTGTAAAAGGAGGTTGTTGGATATTACTCGACTGTATATTATTCAAAAATATATTATGACTGTATAATGATGATTTGTTTGATCGTGACGAGTCACATAATGGTATTTGTATAGTACTCGTTGATGTAGATGACTTTACAAAAGCTGACATATTATCCAAAGGAGTTATTCCTACCTAAAATTTAATTATACGATAAGTACAGGAGAAATTTTAAGATTTACTTTAGTATATGCATGCATTAAATCATCAAATTACAAGATACATACTTTTATTTGACCATTACATTTTCCACTAAAATCCATGATATGAAACCATCCTGATATAGATGGAAAACCAGTTGTTAGCACGGATATATCAATGGCAGAAAATCCAATGACTATATCTCTTTCCATATCAATATGTGTACTTATGTCTGGATTAAATAAACGCCAGACTTTTAATATTAGCTGTTTTTCATCCTTAACGAAAATAAGAGGAGAATTAATTTTAATACAATTTACTATTAACACGTTGAACGTCACACGCAAATTCTTAAGGAAATCCTTAAGAAAAAACAGTTGTTTTTTCAATAGTAAGTAACGCGCGTGGCCTGACTGGGATTTCCTTAAGAATTTATGTGGTGCTCAACGTGTTAAACTTAATTCTAGCATACATACATACATGCGTTAATAATTCTGTGGGTAATTTTGTATCACATTTCCATTCCCATCTTGGATTACAACTATGTGGATAAACATTAGTTATCGTGTACGATTGCAATTGATTCGTAGAGTCAGCCTGAATTGTTTGAAAAGTTACATACGTACTTGGTTCTATACTTTCATTAAGTTTGTCTACTTTTGGTAAATGTAACGCGCATTCGATCTCGATAAGCGCTCTAAAAGAGCTCTCGTCGTTGTTCGTCAAAATGATAGTTTTATTTTCTAAATTTTGTACGTTAGTTGGTGGATAATAATAGATGTTATTATTGTAAGTACTGCTTGGTCCTTGTTTTATCGGCTCATCAAATTCAGCTCCAACGCCGACACTTCTGTACATTTCTGTAGGTAAATAAAGATTGTTCCCAGGACTGTCGCTATTACTATCATCCGACATACTGTTGCAACGTAAAGAATTTATACATGACTCTTGTTCAATATCTGTCCGTTTTTTTCTATCCGTTTCTTGTTCAGTTTGCGCCGCTTGATTCATAGTTTTCGTAACATTTAACGCGTGCGCTAGTCGATCTACTAGCGTATGTAAAACTAGTCTATCTGAATTTAAAACATCATCCTGCGGAATATTGTTAGACACCAACTTTGGTTCTTTAAGAGTTGAAATATCAGTTTGACTTTCTTGAGTTTTAAAATTGATCACATTTGAATTATTTCCGTTAACAGTGTCCATGTGATGCATATGATTATCTTTATATTGAGATATTTCATTGTTTAATTGCAAGCCAAGATCAACGGTTCTCATTATCTCACTTGCGTTATCCGTTTGTTTTCTCTGATCGTTATAATTATAGGAATAATCACGTATTGCCTGTGGTACCACCACAGTTCGACATCTAAGACCTCTCGACATCTCTAAAAGTGCTATTTGCTCGGCAGTTCCGAGAGCAACCAATGCGTGTAATTGTCCACACGATTGACTAGTAACTGGATTATTGATCGATATCCATTCATCTACGCTAATTATTGGATACTGAAAAGAGAATTAAATCGTTTCAATATTTTTCTTCAAATAAAAAAATCTGACATTTTGATATATAATAACTGATAACACATACTTTAGATGATAATAAATGTGGTAGCACGATTGGATCCCTATAAGCAACGTATAATTGATGCACAGGTAATTTTGCGATTCCCAATAGATTATTCATTCCTACTGAATTTTTATAGTACACTTCTACGATTATGTAATTATCTTTGATTCGTTCTAGTAATGCATTGCCATAAATTAAAGGTACCAACTGTAAAAAAAAGAAAGAAAAATATATATATATATATATAAACGACGTACTAAAACAAAATCTTAAAACATACGAAAAGAATTTTCGAATAAATTACATGAAAAAGAACATACTTGGCAAAAATGGTAATATGGGTTTCGCGTGTTACTACACAATTGACTTGTACCTTTGTCTTGCAACCAAAATGCTCTACATATTAAAAATGTATTTAATTCCAGTAAATCTTTACCCTCCGCTATGTATATTAATCCGTGAAGTAAAATCTGCAATATTCAATAGATGTGAACAACTTGAACAATTTACGAATAATCTGAAATTGAAAAGCTTATGAAATTTTTTTACATCATTATGATTTTTGCTGTTTGGATCTGCTATATCTGCTTTTCTATCATCAATGTTTTGGTCATTATGTTTTGATGCATCTTTTCTCGTAACCATATTACTAGTATTATCCATGTGTAAACATTCTATTCTTTTTGTCGAGGAAGATGAAACGCTATTATTCGTTTTGGATTTCGTTCCTGTTGCAGTTTTACATTTATCAATATCTGTATTTAATAAAGATTTCACATTTAACATAGGAATATTTTCCTTTCCGGACATTACAGCTTCTGTAATGAAAATGATTGATTTTAAAATCTTTATATGTATATTACAGTAGAAATACTATTTATTTATTCATTTACAGGAGAAAAACCCAATGATACATAAAAGAAAATTAAACAACGATGTTGAGCACAGAGAACCATTGAAGAAAAAATAATTATAAAAAAAATTGTTGCGAAAAGTAGGTAGAGAAATTAATCAGATAAAATAATCAAACGAATAATACGTCCTAGAATCTATCTGTAACCAAATAATAAAATATATAATATGTTTTCTAACAAAATAAACATAATATAGAGTTAATTATTTTATATATCTTTAGATTCTAATTTTGTAATGTAACATGTAAACGAATCCATGTAAACGAATCCATGCAGACCGCAAAAATCACAACGGATGAATGGGAAAAACATTTTATAGAACTGTATAAAGATAGAACGAAGGAGACTTACAACATATGCGAGGAAGAGGAAGAAGAGGCACTAAACAATTACACCATCTCGTCTGAAGAAGTTCAAAGAACAATAGACAAATTAAAAAACCATAAGACACCAGGAACAGATGAAATAACAAACGAACTAATAAAATATGGGGGAAGATCACTAGCACAGGAACTAAGTGCCCTATTCAATAAAATATAAAACACAAAAAAGTGTCAGCTCAATGGAAGGAGAGCATAACAGTTCCCATATTTAAAAAAGGAACCAAGATAGAACCGAAGAATTACCGCGGAATCAGTCTCCTAAACGCAGTGTAGAAGGTAATAATGAAAATCTTGGCGAAGGTATTAGAACGGACAGGAATAAGCAAAGAACAACAGGGCTTCAGACAAAATAGATCGACGGTGGATGCAATATTCATATTACGACAAATAGCTGAAAAAGCCATAGAATTCAACAAACCAATATATATGTGCTTCGTTGATCTCCAGCAAGCGTTTGACAAAGTGAAGTTTGGGGACGTACTACAGATCCTGAGATCTGTAGAACTGCGGCATAAGACAAATAATAAAGGAATTAAATACGAACAACATAACTAGGATAAGAACTGGAAATATGACAATGAAGAAGATCCCGATAACAAGTGGAATCAGACAGGGTGACAGTCTAAGCCTGATCCTTTTCAACCTAACGAACAACGAAGTCCTAATAAAAAGAAGAAGAAGAAGAGATTCTAATTTTGAAATATAATATGTGGAAACCAGATAAAAAATGCTACTATTATTTATATTTATATATTTATAAATATATATATTTTTCATGTATATATATTTTAATATCACATTTTTAAGTTTTCTTTAAACTTACCAATATATTGTTTTCCAAAGTGAATCGAATCGCATCCTAATTCTGTAGTAATTTTCAACTCTCCTATTTTAATACCTTTGTTAATCACAGCTAATCTCTGCGACAAACTCAAATTCTCTGTTTTTACAATGTCGCTGATATACATCATACCCGAGCCTAACTCAGTTGGTGACTTCTGATTGAGATGCCGGGAAAGAATTTTGAAACATAATGGAATATCTTGATGTACATTAAATTTTGGTAAATTATATACCCTCTCATTATCAAAATGAATTACTAGAAAAAAAATAAAAAATTTATATTATAATTACGCATTGCTGGTAATAAATATTATAATAGTATTATCTTTACCTTGTCCTGATTTATTTTTGGATGATATTCTTATTGATTTATCATCTCTTGGTAGTTTATGATTCGTTTGTATAACGGGTTTAAAATTAGTATTATATTGTACAAAATATGTTACAGACAATAGCATATTATCATTACCTGAAAAAAATCAAAGTAAATATATACTTCATTAATTGAAATTTTTAATTTCATTCAAGATAATGAACAGCATCGAGTTTACTAACGTGATACACAAGATGATTTAACACGACGATAGCCTGCAGGACTTAATACGAATAATTCAATAAAAATTCGTATACTATCTACATGATCCAATGGAGACATTTCTAAAAAAAAAAAAGAAGTAATAATATATTTATATATACAATTATATATATAAATAATAATTAAAAACATTTCCAACTCAATATGTACCATTTTGTTTATCCTGAGACAAACACTTGGTCAATGATTCTATCATTGAGTTGGACGTACTTAAGGATGTTTTATTATCATTAATTGGCGCATTATTAAACTGAGAAGAAGCGATGGCTTCTGATGCCAAGTCGATTAAACTAGGTGTTGGTGACGTTGATCTTAAAGTATTTAGTGCTTTATGTTCATCGGATGCACTCATTTCTTTGCCTAAAAAATACTCATATAATTTTACTTCTTTGCAAAGAGGAACATCATTAGGAAAACTATTACTCAGATCAGTATCGCTCAATGCCAGAGGATCTTCATCGTAAGTTTCTTTTAGTATCGCTCCTCTAAGTTTCTGTGCTCTAGCAACAACTTGAGCAACGAGCGTATCAGTCACTGCAGAGTTAGAATTGTACAAAGGTTCTTGGAACTTGGCCCTTTTAGTTTTTAAAATAGATCTATAAATATCTTGTTTCATAGGAGTGTTAAATTTGTCTTTGTTAATATTACCAAATCTTTTGCTTAACAAAGTATCACCAATATCAAATTCTCTGCAATGTGTATTAGCATCCACAGGAGAAAGCAAAGCCCTATTTTTAGATTGCTTCTCTTGAAGTTTGTGTGCTTTCAAACGCATAATCGTAGCTTTAGACGCATTTAAGTTAAACTTTATTCCAATGTGTACCTCGCCTATTTGACTTTTATTTATATCTAATATCGGGAAATATTTAAAAAAAGGTTTCTGTTCAAAAATATTTAACAATTCTTTGATCTCCGACGTTCCTACGATCTGATTTACCTCCTCGTTTATTACAACTAATTCTATAGTTTCACAATTTTTAATATATTCCTTAAATAGATTGCTGTTTGTTCTGATACTATATATCTCCGCTGTATCTTGGCTAGATCTTACTGTATTTGTTTTAATGTCAACAGGTCTAAAAAAAAAATAAAATTTGTTGAGTAATACAATCATTTAATGAACATTGACATTTAGTTAGATAATTTGGAAAATGCATAAAATATATTTAATTGTAATCTCTTGTTTAATGAATAATTTACCTGAATTTAGCATTATCCTGTTCACCCCACCAAGATGCTAAAATAATTGTATTTCTGGGATTATTTTTATACCAAATAACTTCGTCTATGATTAGCCATAAGTAGCCGTGAATTTTTCCTTTCACCATAGGTGGTAATGACCTACACGGTCTCACCTTCGAATCCATTTGATTTTTACTATATTATGCATAACTAACTTTCACTTGAGCTTCAGAAATTTAGGTTAATTTAAATGATTTCGTTCAAATTAATATATTTAACATCTGTGACGATGCAATCAAAACGAATTTAAAATATTCATTAAATCACAGCAACGCGTGTTAACTTGATTACTGGTTAAGACACAGCTTCACATTTTCTCGAGTTACTAATTCGTTATGATCTTTTTATGCAGCAAACAATCGCCCTCGTAGTAGCATTTTATCAAATGTCACACTTACTTGTCACTACACCTATTCCTTGGAAACGCGGAATAATACTAGATAGTATTCGTATAATATTGTTTTATATATTCTGAAAGAAAATAGAGAATTACAGAATTGTATGATTGCGAAATTTAGGCGAGTTTCATTTTTCTCTACATTACTTTTCGCGAATTACATTTAACGAATTTTTTGTTTGAATCCATCGGTAAGATAGAATTTTCAGGATACTGAAGAATACAGCTTTTTTATCTACCCAGTTTCATTTTAGTTACTACTGGGACCACCAGTGAGCGACGACGGTACAAAACTATCAAGGAATGCAATTATGACGCTATAAACTATCAAAGAATGCAGTTATGACGGTATAATACTGTTAAAGAATGCAGTTATGACGATACGACATTATCAAAGATACAGTATTCTTTGATAGTATATGATAGTATAGTTACATTCTAATAAAATTTTAAACAATTATATTTAATTTTTAATGTATAAACATGTGTGTGCCTTCAGAAATGCAATTATACATATATTTTAAAAAGTAGTTTTTTAAGGTAGTAAAGTAAAGTTTTTAAAGTAGTAAGTAGTCATTTAAAGTGTTCAAATGGAAGAAAATCTGAGAGGTTTGTTGTTAAATCCCACGATGATCACCTGTAACAAGAAGAAAACTATATTAGTCATACAGTCAAAAGAAATACAATAGCCTGACATATAAATCGTCCAATTCTCAGATGCACTTTTCAATTAAATTTTCTATTTACTTCTATCACAAATCTCTATTAACCGTTGCAATAAAATTAAATTTAAACGCGTGATTTTACATTTACATAAAATAAATAAAAATAAGAAAAAAGGGAAAAGTACAAATATTAAGTTACTAAAAAAAATAATATCTATTAATTATTATGAACTACTTTTAAATTGCATTATATGAAAAGAAAAATTACAAATTTAATAAAATACGATCACTGTGAAAAATCTTAAAGACGAAACAAGAAAAGAGAAATTACTTTAATATTCATCGAATGTTAATTAAGCTTCAAAATTTAATAATACAAAAATTTTAAAATTTCTGACTCTAACTAAACACATATGCATCTTTTTGACGATTTTGAGGGACCTAAATTTGGTGTCCCAAGGAGACGGAATGGTCCATCATCTCCAATTACAACTACAAATTAATGACGAGCAAAACAGTAACATAATCAAATATAAAATATGACTAGAGAGCTATTTTCGAAGAGTTCGAACTTGCTGTTGAACCTTTGAAAATAACTCAATAGTCTGTGTAGTTGCCCACTTGATACTACAAATTTGTGGGGGCCTCTTCGGCATAATGCCTCTTCTTTCTTCATGCCCTAAACTCTGCTGTGAGGCTTTTTCTAAGCGCATTTTACAATACAAATCGTACAGTTACATTTACTCGAATGCCTCAACAAATATTTGATCTAATTGATGAACCTATTATTAACACTTTGCATTTAAAAAATTAAATAATATCAAACAAAAGTAGGAACTTTGTCATAAATCTTATGGTCTTAATTTTTTACTCGATCACTTTTATCTTTTATCTTTACTATACTTTGTATTTACTATACACATATAACAAATGAAGTATTTTCAGTAGGAATTACTAAAGAGCAAAGCGTTAATATACTTAATATTAAGTAAGTATCCAACGTATTCAGCTATCTTCACTTTTTCGAAAAAACATTAATTTTTAAGAAAATGCAAAGACTTTTGAATCGTTCAATACTGATTTATATCTCGCTGTACAGAGAATCAGCAATATATGGGAAAAATACAAGAAATATTTAAATGATAAATGAATCTAAAGGTTGCTGAAACTTTGTATAATATCCGGAGAAGAAATTGTCCACTCCCGAGTGGAAAGTACAATCGCGCGACTTCTCCGGTCTCTACCTACTTACAAATTAAATAAACATTCACACCCAAGTATGCTACCTGCTTGTCTATTACCCA